CACGATGTGCTCGTGTCTATGTACATACATCATTTCATATCAGCCCCAGGTGCTTCAGGGCTGTGCCTCATACCCGGCCCATTTGATAGGCTCCGGGAGTCGGGGCATTGCTGTAGCCAGCTCCTTGGTGTTGGGGTGTTTGGGCACCAGCTCCGTGAGACCCAGTATTGGGAGTGCTAGGGGTGCCACCCGAGTACATGGTGGCACCGTTGAGGTTCGGCGTTTGTTGAGCCATGTTGTAGGCCATTGTGGGCATTTGTCCGTTGAGGCCCCAGATTTGGCCAGAATATTTGCTGTCATCAATTGACCCTCCGAAAATGAGCTGGCGCGTCTTCCAGTAGATCTCGCCAGTCACTAGGGAGTCCGAGCCAGCCTGGTGGGCGATCCCAACACGCTTGACGCCAAGTTCATCCGCAATGTCTTGCAACCCAGATTTTTGGCCTAGGTTGGTCAAAATCTGTGCTGCGGCTTGGGTGAGAGGAGAACCGTTGACGGCTTGATTGCGACCAGCGTGCTTCATGAGGTACTTGATGTCATAGAGTGATGGGAAGAAGATGGTAAGGAGTTTGTGGAATTCCTCTTCGTTCTCCGGAAGCTGGGAACAGAGCATAATCTTCATCAAGTAGCCAAAGTCGTACCCGGAGTGGAAAGAAACCCAGTGGACGTCATCTAGAAGCACCAATCCAGAGCTAATCAAAAGAGCTCCGAACTCGAAAGGGTCTATACCGTTCTTTTCATGCATGGCGAAGTCGATTCCAGATTTAGCAAGCATGGCTGTTGACTCCTGGGCGTACATGTCTCCTTCAAGTGAGAACCGGAAGTTGAACTGCCATGTGCAGGGGGCGGGCACACCATATGCTTGTCCGTTGACATCACTGCCTGAGGCTGGAGGAACTTCTCCTTCGTCATTGAATAAAGTTATGCCTAGTTGTATCATCTTTAGAAGATCGACATTGCATCGGAGGGTCTGATAATGGTAATCTGCTTTGTTCGAAAATGACCCGATCGGCCGAGCAACAATACCAGGAAATTCGGTGTCCTAGATCCTGGTCAGTAAGCGTTACTCAAAAAGAATTTCCGTTTTCACGGAGACATCCGTAGTTGGCGCGTACCATGCTGATATAAGGGTACTTGTCGACCAACTGCCTCAGCACCGCCATCTCATGAGCCAAGTTGTGCTTCCACACATCTCTGATTCTTGACTTCACAGCCCCACCCTTCCCTTCGAGTGCTAACCGACCGTCGTGGCTCTGGTGTAGTTGCTGCTGTTGCATTTGCGCACCGCGCGCGAATCCCATCTGTGCCGCATGACTGGCCAGACCGGTGCCACCGCCATCACTTGCACCAGCTCCCGGAAAGCCGCCTACCGCCATACCATTGGCGATTCCGCCGGATAGTGTAAAAGGATTGATGTTAGTGTTCGGATTGCCCGCAAAGCCAGGATGACCAAGCGAGGGGGGAGGTAGCGTATTTCCCGATTGTGCATGTGCGGGGTGTTGAGATTGGAGATGAGCTTGTTGTATGTTGTATGGAGCATTTAAGCCAGATGGCCCATATCTGCCAACTGGAGGTGGCATTTTGTTGTTTCGACGATGCGCATGGGTGAAGTGACAGTTTCGTCCCTCGAAGGCGGGAGAGCTACTTGGTCTACCGTATTCGGTTAGCGCGGGTAATTGCCAAGCACACCTCTTTTCCTCACCTTCGGCTCCTCACTGTGTCACTTTGCGGTTGATTGCGGACTAAGGGACCAAGCTACAGCCCTTTACATCTTGTTTCTCTTTATTTCCGTCTTTCGATAATATTTGCTACCGGATAACTCCCACAATGCCCGCCCGCAACCCCACCGGTTTCGACCTAGCCCAGTTCAAGGCCGCGGCCTCCCCATCTTCCGTCTGGGCCAAGCGGGATCCATGGGCTCGCAAGTACGTCAAGTGATACCGATGTTAAGCAAATTGGGGTAGGCACTAATTCTCTACAGTGAGACCTGGCGATACACCGGCCCCTTCAGCAGATTCAACCGCTTCAAGGGTCTCTTCCCTGGCTTCGGTATCGCGACTGTTGCTTTCGCTGGCTACTGCACATACGAGCACTTCTTCATGAAGGATGATCACCACCATGGCGATTCTCACCATGGTGACGGTCACCACTAAAAGGTTGTCTCTGGAGACCAATTGAGAATGCCGCGGACCAACGGATCATCGCGCGGAGGACGTATACCCTAGGCGACAGAAAGAGTCGTCTCGCCTCCGCGAGAACTACAGCCAAATTTTGGATCATAGCGCCTACAGCTTTGCCGAATCCGGGAGCTTTTGTCGTACCAGGGCGGATATGCAGCTTCTCATGGCTCATAAGGAGCATAGCTTCCAGATGGCGCTTTGGGTTTGATTTGTCGAATGTACATAGCTTTTGTTCCACTACTACAACCAGATGTTTCTTTATCGTTCGAACTCCGACTCTACACACGTTTTGTATTAAGAGCTGGTTCTCAAGGTTGGTTTTGCTTTGAGCTTCTATAAACACGTAATATCATTATCGACATGAGCCCCCACTATGCATGTTTGGGACCTCCAACTTTTTTTGTGCTAATTACTCCTCGAATACCAGCGAAATACCATCGTCACCGGCAGTGACAATGCGCTTTCCATCCAGGCCCTGTACGAAGCCCATAATGCCACCAGCTTGCTCGCCCTCCTCATTTTCTGTGGCACCCATGTGTCCCTTCCATTCCTGCATCAGCCCCTGAGAAGCCGCGGCAGTGCCGCCGCGTGCATCCCAACGTCGGACGACACCATCCAAGCCGACAGATGTGAGCATCCAAGAGCGGTTCTGGTGAGCTGCGGGGGCTGCGGCAAGGGGCCCTGAGACAGTTGCGCCGAGTTGCTTGTTGCTTGGCAGGAACTCAACCTTGACAACGGCGCTTCCATCGTGGGCGTCTCTAATGTGCCGACGGACAGCAAATCGATGAGCCGCATCATACATCACAATCGAACCATCCACAGACCCGGAAGCAAGGAGGGTGAACGGGGCCTGGGAGAACGAGAGTGACTCAATGTTGTCCGTTTGAGTCTGCAATGCGGCCATAATAGTACCTGCAGCGGTAGAACCGGACTGGGAGGCTGCACCTTTGGCCTTACCCTTGGTTGCAGGAGCACCTGCTGCGATTCGAGGGAGACCGACAACTCTAATGTTGCCCTCGGCACCACCCACTGCGGCAATGCCACCGCTGGGGGAAATGGCAATAGTGTAAAGACCACCCTCGACGGCGAAGCGTTGATCCTCCCCATTCATTCCAAGGATGGCGTTGGTACCAGGTGAGTACTCAATGCCAGCTGCCGCAGCAGCTCCAAATACGTCGTAAACAAAGAAGCTGCTGTCCTCAGAAACAGTTGCGAGCAGGTTTCCATCAGGCGTCCATGCGCCTGCAGTGCATGACTCGGTGTGAGAGAAGAAGGTCTGGATGATGGAGATAGGCTGCCCGGGGTCGGTATGATCGATACGGAAGACCCACGCGCTGCCATCATTGGAACCGATAGCAATAACATTTTGGGTCGCTTCGTTGCCCTTCTGATAGGGACACGCAGCCATCCAATTGATTTCTTCCACTTCCTGGACCTCGCCAAAGAACTCCCATGCGAGTCCGGTCTTCTGGGGCGTTGTATCACGATAAGCTCGCAGCTTGCCATCCAGACCAGCCGTAATGGCATACTCTCCTGCTGGCTCGGTGAAAACCACAGCATTCACAGTGTCAGTGTGCCCTTCGAGCTTGGCCAGAGGCAAGAGAGACTCGCGCTCCCTTGGCTGAGGGTTCGATTCATAGCTCGATGGGAGCACAGGACGCGGTGCAGGGGTCGAGTCAAAGATGTAGGATGTGTCATCACCAGACCCAGTCATGACAATGTTGTTGTGAACCGGATGTTGCGCGACACAGAATACAGAGTCCGAGTGTGAATCGAAGTGTGCCGCCGAGTCGTTTTGGAAGGTGATCTCATCTTCGATGGTCATATTTTCGTCATCGTATTCCCCCTCTCCATCCGACATGTGGTGGTCCTCATCACGATCAAAGATCTCCTCTGCATCGTCAGCCTGCATGTATGCTTCCTCTTCATTCTCGCGGTGCGGGTCGTTTGAAGACATTTTTATTTTTTCAATGTGTGTATATGCGGGAGATAGAAAGATATATTGTAAGGAGTGATGGAAACTTTTGATACTCCTCGTTCTGAGACAATACCGAATCAAGAGATTGATTGTCAAGGCAACTTGAAATGCCCTCGATCTTTTTTCTTTACCTCCCCGCTTAGAAATCCACCACCCCGCGGCAGTTTATGTCCCGTCTCTTACCGCTTTATTGACCGCTCTTGTGTCAGCGCGAGACGCGAAATTGTAGGCATGAGCTGAAATTCACGGGGTTTTCTATGAATAATAATATATGGCCACGGTTCTGGTTGTAGACTGTTTAATTGCAGATTTCATTGAATCTTTGCATTTTTTTTTAGGTATTTCAAGGAAGAAGCGATGAACCCTCTGCAGGAGTCTTATCCATGCGAGCAATGCGACAAGGTATTCGGGCGTAAACATCATCTGAAGCGCCATATCCTAACTCATAGTCGCCCTCAACTCCATCTTACTTGTGACCAATGCGGTACAGCACTGACACAACAATGCTACGACCGGGGACATTCGGGGTCGAAAGAGCACAAATGCCGCTTTTGTCCAAAGTCCTATACTCGGAGGTATGCCATTGTCTCTGTGCTACAAACACTTCTTATTCATACATCATTGCAATTCTGATTGCCCCCCCAAGACATAGGCTCGCGGCCCATTTGAGGAAACACCATGAAGGGAAAGGGTTAAAAACAGAGCTCTCGGTCCAGACGAGTGCTCTATCTCAAAATATCCAAGATCAGAATTCCACCTCATCAAGCATACGTACATCATCATTCCCATTGGATCAAGATAGGACAAATCAAGATACTCCAGGCCTGGCATTAGCTGCTACAAACATGAGTATACATGATCAGATTGGTGTCTCGCATGATGTTATGGAAATCTCAGAAGACTCGCAAAATGAGACCAGCACAGCATCACAAGCAAGACCACCTGCTAATACTGCGCGTGCCCATGCTCCTTCTCGACGTGCCCCAGCTTCGGGCACCCGTGCCCGTGCCCGTGCCCCTGCTGTTCCCGCAGGCCCTATTGTTCCAACTACTCCAACTGCTTCTGCTTCCGTTTTAACTGCTCCGACTGCTTATACTGTTTTAACTGCTCCTTCTGATTCTGCCGCTCCCCGTTCAGGCAGCTCTTCCAATCCAATCCACCCAAGCTCGTTTAAGCCAATCCACCGGTTAAAATTGTCACTCCCCAGAATGCGGCGTGCAGATGAGCGCTTGTTGTTGCCTGAATCCCGTTACACGATGATAGTTCACGGGACAATATATACGTCACTTAAAACGTTTCTCGTGAGTGTGGGAGAAACAGAAGATGCGACATTTCCATGGTGGAGGGTCATCCAAGACTTTGTGCACTTGTATTTTGAACACTTTGACCAAGAATACCCCGTGGTTCACCCATATGCACTAGAATTTGGGCTTGACAAAACCTCAACCTCATGGATGGTACTTTTAGCAGTGGTCACTGTTGGCAGTCAATATAGCGCTTTCAGCAATGCCAGTCTGTTTTCAGCAGCTTTCGGAGAGATACTATCTCACGCAATAACACAAAACGTAAGTTCACTTCCGGAGAAGACCCCCGCCTCATATTAATCAAATTAGCGTCCCCAAGCGCCAGAAGCAACAACTTTATCGTATGCACAAAGCGTATTTCTGAGTGACGTCTGCCTGATGTTTGACGGGTCACACAAAGCGCAGTTGAAGCTGCAGTATGAGCGAAATGTACTTGTCACATTGGCTCGTGTCTTGAAGACTGATCCATGCATGAAAACAAAAGCGTCACAAGCTCCAAGACACTGGAAAGCGTGGCTGGCAAGGGAATCTCGTATACGTCTACTGCATTGTATCTTTCGTATGTGTCCCTGCGACAAGCCATGAAAGCATGACTAATCTTGTATCAGAGCTCGAATGTCTTCAGCTCATTCTATTCGATCGTCAACCGATACTTGGGCAGCATGAACTCCCCGACGAGTTCCCCTGCCGCCAATCACTATGGTGTCGCAGGAATGCTGACAACTTCGTCCTTGTATACCAATCTGATCAAGGTGAGCTCATTCTGGTTGTTATCGATCAGGTATTTCCGGAGTTGACCATTAAATGTAGATCTACCACAATCTCCGTCCACTCAAATTGATGTCAGGAAAGCCAATGAAAGCATGGCAGGAATGGATGCCTATCGCCGAAATCTCTACATGCTGTCTCTTTACAGCGAGGAGAGATTGTTCCTTGACAAAATGTCATATTCTTCAATCTGGAAAACGAGTCTAAGTTCTCAAGTGAGTGGTGCGCCATGTCAGGAGCAATGGACTCATCCTACATCAACCCCTTCAGCTCTGCGATCGATGATGTTCCAATCGATGGACGAAATATTTGCGGCAATTCCCATCTCAGCCAAACCTGACTATATTGCCGCTCGAGATGTAATTCATCATGTACTATCTCTTCTCCGGCTAGTATCACTTCACATGCTTGAGTCATTTTCAGGTTGGCAGGGTGATGACGCTGCAGTCGATATGTCAGCAAGAAATTTGAAACATTGGATGGAGAACAATGCACCTACTGCTAGGAAATGTCTGTGGCATGCTGTATGTGTTTACAGCACATTGAAAGCCAAGCAAAAATTTGCCTGTCATGATCCTCTCTTTTTCCTGATTGCTTTCTTCTATATATGGGCATTCGATAGCCTTGTGGTTGGTCCTGAAGTCGAAAGTCAGCCAGCTCCAGTCAACGAGATTCGCTTGTTAGACACTCGGGAAATCCAAATGTGGATCGCTGAAGGCCCGAATACCCGGCTCAATCTCGTTGGAGTCGGCAATCTGACGGGCAAGGCAAGCTCTTTGCGTCTGGTCATCGAGGTGTGCCAAATTTTCTCAAAACGCAAGTCTTGGGCTGGGCTTTGTCGTGGCCTCGCATCTGCACTTGATCGAGTCCTTAGAAAAATGACAATCCCACAAGAAATCCCACAAGGACTCCCACAAGGACTCCCACAAGGACTCCCACAAGGACTCCCACGAGGACTCCCACAAGGGCTCCCTCTAGGCGTCCCTCTAGGTGTCCATCAAAGCATCCCCCAAGATGTTCCTCAAGGAGTCTCTCAAGATGCCTCTCAAGATGGCCCCGAAGATGGCCCTGAAGATGGCCCTGAAGATGGCCCTGAAGATGGCCCTGAAGATGGCCCTGAAGATGGCCCTGAAGATGGCCCTGAAGATGGCCCTGAAGATGGCCCTGAAGATGGCCCTGAAGACGTCTCTCAAGAAGTCCCCTCCGGAGCCAGTGATGGCGAAATGGCCTGAAACCTTTGTTGCTTGCATATGTATATTTTTTGAAATAACGGATCATTCATTCAGAGCCATGCACTTCAATGATACCCAACGCCTGTGTTACCCTCGATCGCACATTCTACCGATATCTCTATCTCGCGACGCCTGTATCTAATTTGGCAGACGAACTTCTCAAATTTTCGGACAATAAGTAAATGGATCTTGCTTTTCATAATTATCTGACGGGACAATCGAATTCCAAAAATTCTATGAGTCAGTGTTTTCGACACGTCTAGCTCTCCATCTTGACCTCCCATCAATGTGATATCGGCGGTAAATGAGTGCTATAAAACACGCTACTATATTGAAATTTTGGGCTATCTACCAGTGGGTTTACAGGCTATTCTGATAATGGGGAGTGAGATGCCCTATTTGTTAGGCATAAAATTCTAGCTCAAGACAAAAATGCTTCTTGACGCACAATGCAAAGTTCTAATCAAAGGACATGTTTAAATCTTGCTACCTGCCTTTCTGCGTGCCTCTTTCTCTTGATCACGGATCAGCCGGCGAAGAATCTTACCACTCGGGCTCTTGGGGATGACATCCACAAATCTGATACCTCCCTTCAGCCACTTATGACGAGCCTTGTGGTCTTCAACATACTTCACGAGAGCCTGGAGAGTTGATTCGTCCGACCCTGCGGTGGGGGACTTAACCACGATAGCCTTGGGGACTTCTCCTGCACGATCATCCGGAATAGCGATGACAGCGCAGTCTGAGACGTCAGGATGGGCGAGAAGATGGGCTTCGAGTTCGGCAGGTGCGACTTGCAGACCCTAGAATTGGCGCGTTAGACTGCGAATGTTTCCATCAAGCGGTGGCATCACGAACCTTGACCTTGATTAACTCCTTAATCCGGTCGACGATAAACACGTGCTCGATGCCCTTCGGACTTACACGAACGACCGCCTCGTCGCCAGTAAGCATCCATCCGTCCACGAATGTCTCTTTGGTGGCTTTATCGTTGTTTAAATAACCTAGAACGACACTTGGGCCTCGGACGACCAATTCGCCTGGTGTGTCGTAGGTTGTAATTTCCTTGCCTTCCGGCGTCATGATGCGTGCCTCGAATCCAGGAAGCAACGCGCCGGATGAACCCAGCCAAATATCCTCGATGGGGGTCGACGTTACAACCGTGGATGTCTCTGTCAGACCTATGCGCAAAAATATCAGCTCTGCGTCTATTGTAAGCAAGAATATTCACATACCGTATCCTTGGCGGACCAAAACATTCGGGTAGAATTTGAGGAAGTCGGCTGCTGTCTCCATGCCCAGAGGTGCTGCTCCTGTGAAAATGCTATGCACAGAGCTCAGGTCATATGTGGAACACACGTCTTGGGTGCTCAGCATGTGGATAATGATCGGAGGTACCTAAGTGGTTCGGGTTAGCGTTTGGCAGCATTTTCTCATCAGCAAATATATGCTCACCAAGAAGAGTGTGGAGATCTTATAGTGCTGAATGGCATTCAGGTAGGATTTCAATTCGAACTTGGGAAGAACGATTGTTTGGTCGCCTCGGTATGCGCCAGCATGGCCAATGACCACAAGAGCATAGATATGGCTCTGCGGAAGGAGACCGAGAGCAACCTCAGTACTGGCGGTCTTAGTGCCCCCACCATCCCGATAGCTCTGTTCAAATGCCTTGATCTGGAGGGTATTGGCAATAACGTTGCGGTGTGAGATCATGACGCCTTTCTATTTTATCATTAGCCATAATATCATTCAAGTCTTGGGGGCCATTGCTTACCGGCATTCCAGATGTTCCACTCGAGTAGCACAAAAATGCTGTTCGTCGGGCTCCCTCACCCGCGCTCCATCGCAATGCATCCACTGGCGGTAAAGATTTGCCGGCTTCGATGAGTTCGGAAACGGACTTATATTCAGTGGGAGGCTTCGCGCCCCCAAGAAGCTCCTTGGGCACATCAAGCAGGTAGATTCTGCTCTTTGGGAGACCAGCTTTAGCCGCAGCTTCCAGTGAGACGGAGAGAAGAGGAACGCAAGTGACCAAGGCCTTGGCCTTGGAATCCAGCAACTGATGTGTCAACTCGGCGGCGGAGTACGATGCGTTGGCAGGACTGAGAACACCACCCAATCTGTGAACGGCCCAGAATAGGGGCAAAGAATCGATCTAAAGGCAGAAGGAAAGAATAAGCTTCTTGCTATCCGTCGCGATATAGCATTCCACCTACAGTGTTGAGCGCAAACACGGCCAATGTCTTATCCCATTCCGATCCTTCATTCGGCGCCCAACCGAATTCTTTAGAAAGACTACGGGCCAGGGAGTCAACACGGTTGGCTACCTCTTGCGACGAGTATGATCTCCCGGTGATGCCACATGTGTATGGGTCCCGGGAGGTGGCATGTGTGACTCGTCCATATTTCTCATTGAGCATAAATTCACTGATCGGGATATTATCGGGGATTGGGGTCAATTTGCCCGATTCCTTTGCAGGTAAAAACACCATTTTTCCAAGTTCTCCGAGTCGCAGTAGTCTCCAGAATAGGGGGTCGGACTATTTTTTTTTGGAAAATGGAGTCTGCAGTCAAGTCCAATTTTTACGTGAGCAGTAAGGAGGGATTGGAGATCTTAAGGAGATTCATGCCCGTGCGGGGAAATCGGTAAAGCATGCGGTTATGCCGCTTGGATTTAACCGAAATTGGCGAGTTGGGGTGAACCTATACAGCTTATGCCAAGACTATCAATACCTCGGTCTCTACATATCCGAGGGTATTTTCCATGACATGCTCCGTTATAAATCGGATTTCAATAATCTTCCACAGATGGTTGTACTTGAATCAGGTTTACGAACCCTTACAGTGATCTTGAGAAATCTTTCGAGATAAATCTGTATTTCAATCGCAGAAGAGGGAAGATTTAGAGTGGCCTTGGCATGTAGATCATTAAATCCCCCATTTGTCCGGCTTACCCCTTTGGGACTGTGCCGAAGTATTTGACTATGCACCTCAGAATAGACATTGACAGCTTGACAGCTTGACATATTTAGAGACCATACATCTCACTACGTCCGAAGTACACCAAATACTATTCGAGCATATTGACGAAGTTGAACTGGTCTAGATGATGTATTTTGAACCACAAAGATACTATACTTTAACAGGAAACTATTCCCGTATCACAGTATCAGTGTGATCGTTACTTGCGTATACAAAAACACTGGGCTACCGTCATCCCTTCATCGGAAAAGTGACTAAACCGAAAATCATTCCTTTGAATTCAAACACGATAGAGTCGAATAACCAGATTTTCAGTAAATAATCGAGCATATCGATACATTCTTCTCGTTCTACTGTACTGTCGTGGGACATGAAGTTGAAGTAAGGTTCCAAGTGAAGTGCACGGCATTCTTGACAACCTGCAGGTGATATATGTATCGTCGATCATGTAACCCACCCTTTCTATAATTTAGTTCATTTCGTATACAAGCCATCAAGAATTGAGCAGATGATCTCGAGTCTCCTGTTGATCCTAAGCCTAATGGCGTGTTTATATCTAGGCCTCATGGGTTAGATGTTATTACATATCAACCTCGGGAATTTCTCGGTATCCATCTTGCGCCAACTCAAGCCAAATTAACATGATCCCATTACTTGCAGATTGAAGCTCATAATGAGCAATGAGCTCCCTGGAGCTTAGCTAGCTTGTACCATAACGTGATGTCAAGGTTTACTGCCGGCCCCGACCTCGACGCCGCTCTGGCAAAATATATTTTGGGCTCTCACCCAGGTTCACCATCCTCCTACCGCACATTTCATCCCATTACCTAGCGTTTTTATCTTTCTCCATCATTGAATTGATCCTTGAAGCTGAATATTGTCTCAAAAACTATATTGAGCACAAGTGGAACACCAATTCACCTTGTATGATGCCATTGAGCTTTCTATACTGTGAGTCTGACCATTGACCTTCACCACTAAATATGATTCTGTTGGCAGTCAGATCTGTTCTTGGATGATGCTGAATATAATGCTTATTTGATTCATGGCAATTTAGCTTGATTGCACAACACATTGTGGAATATGGCGCCACGCCCTGGGGTCAATCGTCGTCAGGCGGTTGAAAGACCAGTGCGAGCAGGCCGCATCGCCAAAACAAAGAAAGAGAAAGTAATCAAAGGTGATTTCTCTTTGTTCATTCGTCTTGTGGAATAGAATATTCTGATACCAGATAGTCTCATCAGACCAGCTCGAAGCTGCTGTCAACCATGAAACTCTTGAGCCAGTGTATGGAACACCCCCAGCCTGGTCCGAGGTATGCCACTACTATTCTTGTCATAACTCACATAAACTATATATTGAATTATTTGCCAGGGTCGTCAGCAACTTTGTGATGCAATCCCATGGTTTCGTTGCACCCAAGGTGCAATGTATCACACCGAAGGTTTCTGCTATGGCTTCCTCATCGATGCCGATGGGGGCACCCGTACCTATATCGACGAGGAAATCATCATTACTAGAATGTAAGCACTGTATTTTCAGAACAACGAGCTGCCTCCATTGACCTTTCACCAGCGGCGGATGTTGCACCAAAGACTCGGAGGGAAATCTGACCCTCGAAAAGAACCAAGACCCAGAGAATGCACTCGTCCAAAGCATCATCGCCAGTCAAAACTCAAAGCTTGCTGTTGGACTTGTTATCGGTGATGTATCAAGGGTGATATAAGAGATACACGCTGACCATCATTGTAGGGAGCAAGAACAAGATTCTCAACCGAGAGCTCCCACATCGGTACAATATTATGGACTGGTTCCGTGTTACCAATGTCTGGTTTGAAAAGATTGGCAAAAAGCACGGAGTCAAGGTTCGATTTGAGAAATTGAATCTCGCGGAAAAGAGCTGGTGGGCGGCCAAGGACTCTCTCCCTCCAGTGCCCCTCAATGAACGGGATTTTGAAACAAAGCCCGAAACTCTCAAGTGCGAGAGATGCTCCACGGAAAGTGTTCGTCTATACGAGGAAGGATGGATGTGCCTTGAACCTGGTTGCATCGACTTCTGGAAGTTCGAAAATGCATCCCCTCCTGCTGATCTCACTTTCAATCCTGATTTCCTGAGCTCTCGCTGTCATCCAGATCCAGCAATCCAGCCTCACTACAGTCTAGTTCCCAATCTGCTGTCCACGTTGGATGAGAATGCCGCGGATGTTAGCACATCTCGTATCGCATGGAAGGGTATTGTATGCCCTATGTGTTTCAAATGTATCCGACGAACCTTCTGGCAAGGTTGGAAATGCGACGATGACTCTATCAACAGTGAGAAGTGTGCGAGTAGCTGCCCGTTTCAAAAATTCATGAACATGAACCCTGTTTCGCTCCGCGTTGTCCTTGATCATTTCGAGCTGGCCCCGATCAAACGAGCAATCCTTTTTGACAGAAAGTTCAGCATTCCAGACATTGACGACAATACCTTCTTTCCTTACCGGAAGCTGAAATACAAAGTCGACGGAGTTGGCTCAATTACCCACTTTGTGTCCAACAAAGCAATCAATAGCCGCGCGAATGGACCGGATGATCTTTTTATCAATCTCCAATGTGGTGATCTTGGTCTTAAGCGATTCCGGCTCCAGTCCAGTCTAGGTGAGTGCTTCTGACTTAAGTCCCGAAAATATGTTCTCACATTGGAACAGTTGCGGGTACATTGACCTCACATTTTGCGGTGAACTACGTAAGTGGAGAGATATTACCTCGATATTTTTGGAGTCCATCTTTTCTGACCAGGTACAACAGGGCATGCCCTACAAATATGTCGTGTCAGTCGATTCCAAGGGCTTTGATGAAGCACCCAACGACATGCTCCATGCTTTGGGTCGTTTGTCGTGGGCAACTGAAAAGGCAGTCATCTCTTCTGGGGACAATTACCTGCCTCCAAATGAACTACTGACGCTCGGGTATTTCGAGGAAATGAAGATCGGAGTAAGTAAACGTTGTGTAATTGACAATGACCTACGCTAAAATCCCTTCTCTCAGTTCCATGATGACGGCGAGTCGTCTCTGGGCCCTAGTATCGCCACACTGTCCCTTGGAGCGAAAGCAACCATGTTTGTCCGGATGAAGTACAAGTATTTCAATGGCTCTACCCGAAGGGCTGAGCCCAAGCAAATTGGAGCCCTCCTGCAAGATGATCCTGTTCTGAAAGATTGCATGTTCGAGGGCGAGCGTCGAGCGCTTAAAGAGGAATTTAATGCTGGTGAGATCTCGCAAGATGAGTATGATGACTCTCGCCGTGCTCTATCAATGGGCCGCAAGGGAAAAGAGGCCCCCGTTGCCATCAAGATGGAACTTCACCATGGCGATCTGGTTGTTATGCATGGAGAAAATCTTCAGAAGTACTACGAGGTTTGTATCTTTCCCTTTGCCATCGTTGGACATCAGATCTGACCGACATAGCATTCTGTGGTGCCTGAGAACAAATTACGCTTTGCTTTGACTGCGAGATACGTCAAACCCGACCATGTTGATGCGAGAGAAATCCAGAAAGGCCAGTTCTCACTCACAGCTGACCAGATCTACGATGGAAAATGATTGCTATTTGCCGAACGACACGATTCGAAACATCTTTCTCGATTCTGCTTTTCATATTGTCAACTCTGATTGCTGACTTGTATGACCCGAGTGTCACGACCTCATTGATATTTATCATGGTACTAATTGACGGGCTAACATTCTTATTTGTGCTGCGAATATCTCTATGATATGCTCAAGCCATATTTTGCTGCTTTTGCTATATACCCTACTGCTGATGCTTTCTATTGTGGGCTTTTTATCAGTTACGTTCAGGCAGCGAGATCAGTTGACGGCCATTGCCGTGCTATAAATATTAAACCTTGATCCCAGTTTACATGGATTTCTCTTCTTGGTAACATCAACTTTAGTGTACAACATTAGATAGACACATTTCATCTGCATTTTGACCTTTTTGAGTGGAGAACATGACAGACACCGACTCCGATGAGGCCTCGTCATACTGTGCATGAAGTCGTGCCAGACGCACCATAACAATTGAATGCATCTAAATATCAAAAATTATCCAAAATAATATATGGAAAAATCATATTCAAAAATTGGGCCTTGTTGCCACTTTCTCTTTGCCAACTACCTATAAAAATTGGAAAGGGGAGTAAACATAAGAAAAAAGCTAAGGAAGGATACATATGCCAATGATAAGACCACCAAAAAGGCTACTTAGTACACAAGGCCACAAAAGTACATACTATGCGCGGAGTATTGCTGAACAATTGTCACGGGCCTAGATCCTTATAAGGGTCCACATACTCATTCGATTGGGTCGGCACTCCGACCGAAAAGGGAAAGGTTCATTTTCACTAAGCGGCTCCATGGACGCCGACTCCGATCTACATCATCACATTTCCCTTCCATATTATTTTTTTCCACAGGCGTTGCTAATGCCGAACTGTCACGGCCCTCCTCTAACTAGTATTATTGCAAGGCGCTTACAGATATTACTAAATGAATGACATGCTGCGAGCTGTGAGTGTCGCTGTACTGCTTTCGGCATTCTTATACTGATGATATCAGTGTGATCTTTGCTACTCGAGAAAGGTGAAAAGGGTTTATTATATTTATGGCCCAGGGACTGATATTTCTTAATAGGTTCGCTGTGATAAGCAGCTGCATTGTGCAAATTGCATCGATGCAAGCGTCGAGTGCAGTCGTTCAAGACCTCAACGATCTCGCCAGCAATCATCGTCGGTGTATGTTTCATATAGCTCTATTTCGGATACATGTTTAACACATCCAATAGGATATCTGCTCTTGGGGAAAGGTTGTTAAACTTGGAAAAATCAGTTCCAGTGTATGATTGCCATTCGTCTTTACTTCCGTTCTCCCATTAATTGATCGATTAGAGGCACTGGAAACAGCAATCCGTCAAATTTTGCAGATAATTATAATGGAGTAACGACATCGAAAAAACGGAAATGGGACCATGTTTCGCACAGAAAATATGCTTCCCAATCTCCCCGCGACGAGAGTGCCTTTGGATCCACCACACACCATGCAGAGAAGGCTAGAGCCGTTATACAAGGAGAGATTGATGGAAACGACCACATGGATCGTGAAAGAAAGGCAATTCTCAGGTCTGCTCTGCAATTTGTGGATGTTATAGGGCAGAGGAGAAACTCAGTTACCGATAAATCTTCACTGTTAGAAGCGCCGTTGGAAGACTTTCAACATGACGGTCCATTTATTGCCCCATCACCAGAGCTACTTTACATGCTTTTTTCAGGTATAAAAGGATATGTAATCTTCCGTTTCAAGGCATTCACTAATAGCAGTACAGACCCAACATCTGCCATCGGACGTTCGAGTCGCCTACAGTGGCCGGACCACATCTCGGATGAAACACTAGAGAAGATGGCTTCAACCATTCTCGGTGAAAATAACCATGAGCAGAGTCAGATAGTCTACCAGTATTCTATATGCGTTTATGTGAAGGCCATCTTCCACCTCTTCCAAAAGCCAAGAGCATATAAGGATCCCCGTCTCAACGCACAATTTCTCAAGTCCAAGAAATTATATGAAATGTATGCCTTCCGTGCTATCAAGAATCTCAATTTCTTGAGTGTTCCAAGTCTTCCCTTCATCCAGTCATTGGTATCTGCGGTATGTCATTGTGCTGCCTTCCACAGAAATGCCTTTATTGACTATCGAGCAGGCACTTCTCATGAAGTATCTTGGGAATATGAGCCAATCATGGGTCCTCAACTCGTATGCTGCTCGTCTGATATCCGTTTTGGGCTATCATGAAATCCGTAATCCTCAGGGGAATTCAAAACTTGATGAAGAGATCCATAGCGTTGTATGCTGGTGCTTTTATCTTGACCGAACTCTGAGCACCCTTCTTTACCGGCCATTATCGCTGCCCGAGCCTCGGATCTCCCCCAGTGATTTAATTAGTCCCGACCAGTCTCTGGCACATATCCCATTAATCCGAGTCTTGTTCGATTTAGCCCAGGTCCAAGGAGAGCTGCTGAATTGCGAAAAGGCGGATAACACCCGCCAGATAATTGCCAATCTTTCAAGACTCCAAGAACGAATGGAGGTCATATATTCAAAATTGCAATCTGTGCGCTTGATTGAATGCTTTTCTTTTGTTTTCCCCCCAAGCTAACCTATTACCCCAGTCTCGAGCCGCGGCACCAGGCTGTATCGCTTCCGAATGGATTTCAGCTGAATTTTGTTATTACGCAATTCTAGTTGATATTCTTCGATCACGCTTGAGATGTACCTTCTCGCCCTTGACACACAAGGAATGTTTATCATATTCTCGCAAATCTCTCAAGGCATTGCATCACCTTCAGAAAAATCCTGCGGATTCCCCTGGTTTCGCGGATCCTTATCCCTCATTCCTAACATGGTCAGTTGGTTTACTTCAAGCATCACCCGTTATTCTGCTGATAACTCTTCATTTCCTCAGGACTGTTCTTCTATACCCTTTAAGTCCATTCTTCGTCCTCTTCTGCAACGTCATTGGAGAATTAGATATGGATGACTACAATCTAATGCAAGACATCACGGAAAGTCTGTCTCAGTTCACCACCAGTCCATATATCTCGAAACTTCTGAAACTTCTGGATCATCTGCAGAATCTCTGCATCCCATTGATCCAAGCCAAGCAGCGCATGGGATCGCGAGTCACAGTCCCTACCTTGTACCCTTCAATAACTGGGAACTGGCACGACCATCCAGCTAGTCTTGATGAGCATGCTCATTCCCTGATGAGTGAGTCTTCATACATGGATGCTGTTGCTGGAGAAAACCCTCAGAACTTGCCAACACCTAGTAATGGCTATGCTGCTGATGATGCGATGATGTGGCAATTATTTACTAGCGAACTCTCGCTCGAGTGGTTCGAGTCTGATCCTTTTTCTTCTTGAGCGTGCGCCGTGTTTCCTGACAGGCCTGTTTCAATGGAATCTGAATCTATCATCTTTTCAAGCTTTTCCTTTCTATGCCTTCTAGTGTCAGGTATCAGGTGTCAACTGTTTGTTTGGTTTGTAAATATTTTATGCATTTTATAGCGATACCATCGATCATAAACTACTGATGCTCGATCCTCGACTCATTCTCTATACCCGTTCTTACTCTCTAGTGTCGTTTTAGGCGAGAATATACTGTTGCCCAATTCTAGATACTGCATATGCAGTGAATGTCATAGATATAGTGGGGCCAAATACGACTCAGCCTCTCAGCCTTGCGAGAAAAACGAAAATGGGGGCCATGCTTGTTTAATAATCATTCACCTTGGAGAATTTGATGGCCTCCTATGAGCTGTTCAGTACCTTTCCCAGTGATATATAACTGACCTTGTTACAAGCACAAACAAAACAAGGCAAAACAAAAACAAAAACAAAGCGGGCATCTATGATGGTCCCGGACTACCAGATCCCGGGGAATAAACACCAATTAGTGACATGTCAGCAATAAGATGAAGGTAAAGACATGATGTGCATATTTCGTCTAGAGTACTCCATCCAAAGTACTGTGTACATGATATGCCCCAAAGGGAAACATTTGAAGACGTGGACGTTCGTATATTCAGCCTCGTACAATAAATAGGGTGGTGACCCCGTTGGCGGTGGAGACGGTCCCTCGACTTAGCGTGGGCGCAGCTGATGCGAATCCCAACATCCACATATTTCTCCCCCAAAACAACTCCTGGTTTCACATCTTGACCAAGGTCTCCCTATTACCAAGGCTAGTATATCGTGTTCAACGGGTTTCATTGGGAATGCCCAGAGACAGCTCTTCGGCAGCGTGTCACTGACCCGCATGGTCGTTCCCCTCATTCAAATCAGTCTGATTTGCTCTGAACTAGTCACTCGTTTTGCCATCTACTCACTTGATTGATTGCCCAAGCTCCGGTCCTGCCAAACAATCTCTCACGCGACCCTGGGCTCATCAAGCCGAGTCAAAATCTGGTCGGACCCTCACCCCTCCGCAACAATGTCGCAATACCAAAACGGCCAACAGCCATACTATGGCCAACCTACAAACCCTCAAGCCTCCGGTTTACCGTCCACCGTTCACTATGACAGCTATTCATCCCAGAACCCCGTGCCGGACCAGCATCTGCCTCGAAGGATGCCAAGTTACAATGCTGGGGATGATTCTCGATACTTCAACCCTGCTCAGACCCATAATATGAGAGCGACCGAAGAGAACAGGCAGTACCCAGCACAAGGTGGTGGCTATGGTGACAACACGGGAGATGGTAGCTACAACGCATCGCAGGGAGCCTTTCAAGACGACAGAGACTCGAGATATTCGCGCACTTCCTCAGACACCATGTCGCACATGTCTCCGAGTCGCGCCTCTTCACAAACCTCCAGCATGTCTTATCAGTATCAATACTCTGGAGCAACATCGTCATCACAGCCGGCCTACAATCCGCAGCAGTACGGCCTTCCACACACACAATCGCAACCGGTCCTGGCTTATAACCCCCAGACGTACACTGGCTCCAGCAATGCTTACGCCGCTCCAGCCTCGGCCCACCAACCGTATAATCCTGCAGCATATCAGTCTGCCACAGTTTCGGGTATGAGCTCTCCAGTTCTACCTAGAAGGCAGAGCGCAGCTTCACACTACGGACAGACACCGCCAACTCCACAATCGTACGGCTTCTCCTCCCACCAAGCACCACTTCCACCCCTTCCACCGCCGAGGGGTGCTGACCATCCGTATGGAGGACGCTCGTACCAACCCATGTCACCGAACCCAATGTCGCCTACCCTCTCGCCTACTTATGTCCCGTCAAGTTCCCCGGGCATAATGCATATGCCTCCACCTACATCACGTCCGTATTACAACAACTCACAAGGGGCGGCGTATGACCTGGCATCTTCCCAATATGTCCCAGCGATCCCAAGCGGTTCCTTTGAAGACCAGCCTCCAACGCCTCCAGTTCATCAGACTCATGCAAATGGTCTGTACGGGAAACGGCCAAGTGTATCTCATTCCGGGGCAGGGCGAATGCTACCGACTCCTCCTGTGCAGACCGAATTACCAATGCGAACGGAAACATTGACTCGACACCCCCAATCGCGACCTCTTCCTGGACCACCAGTCGATGAAGCCGGGACAAATGGCAATCGTATGCCGGCGGAACCTCCCATGGCATATGAAGATGTGCTCAGAGAGGATGAGGCGGCAGCGTTGGACTCTCAGAACTTTGCCCGGCGCCACAGCTCTAGAGCATCCCATACTAGCTCTGCTTCGCGAATGCACTTCTCGCCCGACGAGGAACATACTCACACCAACAATCACATGGACTCAAGCGGGGCAGGGTATACCGTGAATTACAATGCGTACAGTGATGAAAGCGATCCTGAGGCTACTGCTGGCTTGATCATGTTGCAAGAAGCTGAAGCGAGCGAGAAGCGTCTTCAAGGGCGGATGCGACGTGAGACCAATGCCTCAGTTTCCAGCTCACGTGGATCCAATGTATCACCAGGAGGCCATTCGTCACACTCTGATCCCTATGGAGATACTGGTATCTTTGACCTAGCACAGGCTGAAGGAGGATACCAAGCAAACCTGTACTATGGGGAGGAGAACTCAGACCCTGCTGCAGGCAACAGATTTCCAGATACATCTGGTTCATTCAGAAGCTCTGTGTCTCCCGATGACCGTGGTGAGTATCATGATGAATACGAGCATCCGCCTATTGCATATGAATATGCCAGACGCCTCCATCATGCGCCAGCTGATGCCAGAGTAGATGCCAGTGGCACAGGGGGATTGACAGCACCTGATGCTTATTCCAGACGGATGAGCTTTGACTATGGCGATGAAGGAGAAACACCATATCAGACCCACTCGGGGGATCAGTCCGACGATGAGAGCCCCGACCCCTACCCACACGAAGATCTGTTCTTCCACCCTGAGATGCGTCCATTACCACCAGCACCTGTTCGGCCTGCTGGTACTGTTGATCTCTTGTCACATTTGGTGCCAGCGGGCACATATAACCATCAATCGGGGCACCAAGATGACTTGGATAGTTATCCACAGTATAACAACCCTTCCATACCGAGCTATGCGGACCCTCATGGCGATACTATGCTGAGCCCGTCCCAAGTTCCGCGGTCATCGTCTTTGTCGACTCCTATTGGTCCTCGTACTGATGCGCCTATCAGATCTAAGACCGATGCAGAACGGCTGAGATACAAGCAACAACAGCAAGAACTCGCTCTGCAGCTTCAGAAAAAGGACCTACCTCATATAGACCCAGTTGCGGGAGCGGAGTTGGCCCTGGATCTTCCAACACTCCCGGTAAACCCGCGAAAGAAGTTCCATCCCGCGAGGCTGTCGTCAGAACAATTCAAGAAGTGTAGCGAGCCGTGGGCTTTGAGTTCTCTCTTGTCCTGGATCAAAGATTTGAGCGAGGATGAAACAGATCTCAGAGAGCAAGCAATTGCAGATGCCATGGTCGCATTGTTCACTCATAAAGTTCCCACAATGAATATCGCTGATGCCGAGACACTGGCTGCTCGAGTTGTGAGCGGCATGCTTGCTGAAGGTGCATTGGTAAAAGAAGAAGAATGGGTCAAGTTTGGCTCAGGCACTCTCTCGGGTATCCTGTTCCAGATCACTGGCACTGGATGCTACTCTCCCAGGCTCCACTTGCACGAAATGCACATTGAAGATACTGATAGTTTCGGCCGATGCTACTCGCATCACTGTATGCGGACATTGAAGAAGGTCAATCTTAAGGCACAGATGATGGCACCGCAGAAGAAGATCGAGGACTGGGTCACTTTCTACAAGGTGCCAAAGGAGGTCTGGGAGGCTCATCCGAAAAAAGAGGTGGATCGACAGAACAATTTGCACGAGATTGTCACTACAGAAGACTCTTACATCGCGCAACTGGATGTCCTACGAGAGCTTTATCGTGATCAACTGGCCAAGATGAATCCTCCGATCATCCCGGTGAAACGATTAAACAAATTTTTGACCGACGTATTTGGAAAGGTCGATGCTGTGAAGAGGGTAAACGAGGATTTCCTGTTGGCACAACTCAAATACCGCCAAAAAGAACAAGGACCTTTCATCTCTGGATTCAGTGACATCTTCCGGGAATGGATTCGCAAAGCTAAGAATGTTTACATCGATTATGCTGCAACCTTCCCAACGGCGAACTATCTTGTGCGCAAGGAGGCTGAGCGGAATCCGCACTTCAAGCAGTTCCTCAACCAAGCGCGGGACCACAAACTGTCAGGTCGCCTGAGCTGGGATACGTTCCTCAAGGCCCCGATTACCAGAATCCAGCGATATACCCTTCTGTTGGCGACTGTCCACAAGAATATGGTCAAGGATTCCGAAGAAAAAGCAAATGTGGCACAAGCTATTGAAGAGATCAAGATCGTGGCACTGGAATGTGACAACAAAGTGGGAGAGATGAACAAGAAGGCCGACTTGATGGAGTTGGCATCCAAGCTGCAATTGCGACCCGACATGAAGAAGGAAGTTGAACTCAATCTCGAACACTTGGGTCGGCAGATCATCCATCGAGGCGAGCTGCAACGTCCTGGCACCCGCACAAGATTCCTTGTCGATACACACGCCATCCTGTTCGACCATTATCTAGTACTTGCCAAGATATTCACAATGCGCGACCGGGCAGTGAAGTATGAACGATACGACATCTCAAAGCTGCCTATTCCAATGGATCTATTGGGCCTGGAAAGCACTGACGATGATCCTGTGATTAAATCATCCGTCAGGGGAGTTTCGACTGTCACACCCTCCCAGGCGGGGACTGTTAGTCCTCTTGCGCATTCAGGGTCTGGTGCATCCGGAGTAAACGGGGCCGTTGACAACTCAAGGGATGATAAGATCCTATACCCTTTCAAAATCAAGCATCTAGGCAAGACTGGAACATATACTCTTTACGCTTTCTCCGCACAAAGCCGCGTGGAATGGTGCCGAAAGATCATCGAAGCGAAGACAAAGCATGCCGCTGCTCTCTTCTCGCAGAACGCCGAGCCATTCCGGCTGCGTGTCGTTGCAGACACTGCGTTCGCATGCTCTGATCAAACGAGTGGCTCTAAAAGTGTCACCATAGAGGGAACCCCTCTTCATCGTGCGATCAAGGAAGTCGAGAAGCAATATGAAACCTCGAAGACTCGCCCTCCAGCAGTATGTAAGACTGCAGTTCACTGTGCTACGGTGTTCCAACAGCCGCCTGGGCGCATCATGTGTGCAATTGGCACAGATAATGGACTTTACATGTCCGAGCTCAATAACCCGCGGGGCTGGCATAGGGCCATCCCCATTATGCGGGTTACACAAGTTGCCGTGTTTGAGGATTTCAATTTGCTTCTGTTGATTGCAGATCGGTCTTTGATTGCATACCACCTCGACGTGGTCTGTCCCGCCAATGGGAAAGCCTCCCAGTCATCTCAAGACTCTGCTCGACGAGCTCCGCAGAAGCTGTCTGGAAATCGTGAAGTGGGCTTCTTTGCCGCCGGTCGTCTGAAGGATCGGTACTTGGTGTTATACAAAAAGCGTGAGGGACTATCATCTACATTCAAGGTAAGTACATATCAGCGACGCCAATAGAGCCAGCAGCAGCAAACTCACGCACAAAACTTAGGTTCTCGAGCCCGTCTTACAGAAGTCTTCCACGAACAAAAGCCGCCTTTTCTCGCGTCGCTCACAAACGGAGTTCTTCCGCGACTACGACGAGTTCTACATCCCTGCGGAAACTTACCGAATTAACATGTTCCACTCCTCGCTTGCCATCTCAACACAAAAGGGCATTGAAGTCCTCACTCTTGACAAGAAACACTCATGGTCTGTTCCAGACTTTAGCTCCAACGATACCCAGGATGCACATGATACTCTACACAGCATTGCCAATCGCATCAGCGGGCTCAAGCCACTAGGCATGTTCCGTCTCAGTGAGAGCGAGTTCCTGGTAGCTTACCAGCAGTGCGCTGTGTACGTCAACAAGCACGGCGACGTCTCCCGCAGTGTGGTCATGGAGTTTGTGGGCAACGCACATACAGCCTGTCTCTATGGCAAGTTTCTGATTCTCTTCAATGAGGACTTTGTTGAAGTCCGCAACGCCATGAACGGCCGCTTACGCCAGGTTATCCCCGGCCACAATGTCGTATGCATTGATGACGGCAGCAAGGTGCCTGGCTCCCTCGATGGCAATGCACAGGCTCTCAGCGGTGGCGCGATGAGTCTTTCCAGCGGCTTCTCCAGCACCACCAATGGCTTCCCAGCCCCCACGGGCTTGGGCAACACGGTTAAAATCTGCATGCAACATCCAGAGTATGAGCGGTGCCAGATTGTCTTGGAGCTTCTCGAGAACGAGGGCCAGAAAGACTAAACCAAAATCCCATCGACTTGGTTCTGGTCGCCATGCTTCGCAATCTTGTTGTATTTGGGTTCCATACCCCTTCTTTTGAGCATTGCATTTGCCACGGCCTAACCTTCTTTCTCGCCATTTTGAGCACCTTTCATTCGTCCAGTCTTCTTTTCATCCCCTTTTTTTTACTTGTGAGCCTTGATTCCATCACACCTTTCCTCCATACCTATGCCTGTTTTATACCCTTTTTCTTCTTCTCTTACGTCGTCACCACACGACATTCTACTTCTACTTCGAAAGTTTGGTGGTGCCTGACCGCTTCCACCCATCTCCTGGGGTCGTTCTAGCCTGCTTGTTGTACATAGAAAACGTCATTACATCTCATGACTTGACGATTCTTTGAATTTGGAATCCTTCTCGTTTATGGGCAACTTTGCCCTTATGAACTTTTGATATTGTTGGTGGAAATATAGGTCTCAAATCTATCTATTGATCTCGACATATTCATGTGAATCGCAAATACCCTGTAACATTTAGTACAAGTATGGAAAGTGCTACATCGAATCCATATGCCCAATAAACAAGAAACGATCCAATAGTAGGTTCTTTGTAAAGGGAATCTAAAAATCCATTTCTAATCCGAGGGGCTCCACGCAACCGGAAGATGAATTCAAAAATCCAAACCAGGGGTTGTAGTACAAAATCGCACGCTGATCTAATCCAAAAGATCGGCGATGAGAAAACTTTATATGACATGAGCTGATATGCAAGAATATCATGACTCGAACTCGACGAGCTTGCTCATGACCTCCCCATCCCGGGCTGTAGGAGAGCCACGGCCCTTAGCAGGAGCGGCAGAGCCGGAGACCTTGCGAGGAGCATGATCCGCATTTCCGTCCAAGAGAGAAGTTCTCTCCTCCTTTCCGCCGTCAAGCACCTCAGCTCCTTCCAGGAGGTCACGGTCAGCGTCACGGACGACACTACGGCGCTCCGTATCAGCGCCATATGCGCCAGCGCCCCAGCTAGGGGTACCGCCAGGGATGGCAACGGCACTGCTCTCACGACGAGGATAGTCATCGTCGTCCTCATCGTCTTCATCTTCCTCGCGACCTAGAGCGTTGCGCTCGAGGTCACGCTGTGCCTCGTCCATTCGTTTTTTGACTTCGGCTGCCATGCGAATTCCATCTGAGACGATGTTGTCGAGGACGCCGCGTAGGCCCTTGCCTGGGGGCACGATGCCTCCCGAGGCGCCGGCGACAGGGGCTGAGCCGGCGGCAAGTCCGGAGGAACGGATGCTGTTGAGGTTGGAGAAAGTTGTGAGGTTGGAAGACATTGAGGAAGATGCGGCCAGAGCCGCGGGGTGGGGATGGTCGGAGAGGTGGAAGGATTGAGGGAAGTAGGATTCAAAGAATTGCTCTAGAAGTTCGTCGGCGAGGACAACCATTCGGAAAGTAGGGAGAGTGATATGCAGGGGATTGTTGGGATCGAGAGCCGGGTTGGCGGACTCAGATGTTGAGTGGGTGTGGTCATTATTGTCTAATTCGGCGGTGGTAGACTTGGCTGACTGAGGTGCTGGCGAGTTGGTGGATTTGGCATCATCAACATCAATCAAATCTTCTTCTTCGTCATCGTCGTCGCCAATGGCAAATGAGTCCAGCTTTTCAGTTGCCTCCGCCGTTGCATCTTGCTGGACCGCTTTTTGATTCTCTGGATGGCTGGGGTCGGCATATTCGAAACAGCGACGAATGAATGCGCTGACACTACCGAGGAATTTCTCGTCAGTAGTGAGCGAGTTATCGGCATGATCGCGGTCTCCTGAATTTAGATTTTCCACAGATGGTGTAGCCGTGATTGTGCCCTCAAACCCACGGCGGGAGAGGAATAACAGCGCCTCGGACATTTTCAAGATCCCTTCACGATCAACCTGGCCATTTCCACTGTCGTCGTACAGGTCGAAGAAATAGTTGATATTATTCATAATGTCGGGAGACCCCTTCAGACGGGCGAGACCGTTCACCACATTTTGGAGATTTAATCCCTCCTCGGGGTCTGTGGCCCACTTGCGGTAGAGACGCTGCATGAACTCATGGTCTGCCGGTTGCCTGCGGTTTGCCCACAGAGCCGATCTCCCTGATGATGATTCTTTTCTCGATGGTCCAGGGGAGTCAGCGACCGCCCATTTGGATGTGGCGGCTAAGAACTCCCGGAAAGCATCATAATCCATGTGTGTAGGGCTGGGACCAAGGCCAACTCGGCCAACTTGGGTATCCGCAGGAGGAGCAAGCATGGAAAGGCGTGAGGATTTCTTCCTCTCTTGCCGCCTTGTCTCTTCCTCAATAACCCTCTGGTGCTGCTCCCACTGGTACAATGTTTCATAGAAGCGGTCGTATATCGTTCCGAGATCATCCACGCTTAGGCGTTTGCTTTCGGGTCCAAGGTTGCGGATAGACGTACGCTTTGCAAAAGTCTCGATATTCTCTAGCACAGCACCCCTGTGCTTTTCGCGTGTCTCGGTGATCGTGCTGTGAGTGATACCAGAAAATTCCTTGAAGGCAACGACCATTAGTTCTTGGAACCTCGTAATGGCACGTAGCTTGGGATTCTCTGATCTCGGGTGAGCAGATTCATCCAATCGTGAGAAATACGACTTCAAGACGGAGATAAACGACCCATCGTCTTGTGTCTCGAGAAGCTCCTCGCCGTTGACTCGGAGAATGGCAAGGCCCACTTGAAAAAGGACTTTTGGCCCTTCTAAGAAAAACACATCCAAGACGCGGAAAGCAAAGACAAGTGGCATGGAGTTAATATAGAGGGACAGAAACCATGGCAGGGATACCACAGAAAGTTGCACATCTGATTTGGTGAGGTGATCCCAGAGAACCGGCATTGTTCTCTCGACTAGAGATTCAAACACCTTCTGATCGAGTAGTGTGCCGTACATTGTTGTTGAATAGTAACCGGGAAGTAAACGGTCACATAGCACGGATAGAAGGAAAAATGCCTGTGCTTCTGACATGTAACTAGTCAAGTTAGCAGACGCCTTGGCAGCTTGGGGATCTGAACATACATCAATAATGCGGCAACGACAATGTTCATGGCTTGGCAATATCCAATCTCCGGGTCAATCCAACTGTATGCGGTGAGAACTCGTCGCAAACGTCCAATACCTTCTTCGCTCTGGAAACCAGGATACTCTGGTAGACTGCGGTTCAAATCTTTCTCAATTTCATCAAGAGCAAGCGATTCTTTCCCCTCAAATTTGGCCAATGTCTGTTGATACTGCATCGGAGAGTGAAGGCGAAGGAACAGAGAACCGGATGTAAGCTCCCATATTTCTCCACGTAACCGATTGGGCAAACCAACTCTAATAAGCTTGTGGAACGTTGGTTGGCGAACCAAAGTGGCATTGCGACCATTTTCTGGAGTATCTCAGTCAGATGTCGGAATATATAATAAAGATATCATCTCCTTTACCTCGGAAATATTCGCCCCAAAGTCTCATCTTACTGCGATCGCGCAGCTTGCGTGCATCACCAGGGTAGCGGAAAATCAGACCCAGGCCTGCATCCGGGGGTTGACGAGTGTCAGCCTCATTCCCATCTTGTCCTTTTCCTTTTGCACCTGAAAGCAGATATTCAGAATAACAATCCGAGACGACGGTCCGCAAATTGTCAACCTCCTTCATTCCTTCCCGCAGGCCTTTTTTCAGCGTGTCGCAGAATCGTTCGCAGGCCTGTCTGCTACCGACAAGCTGCAATATGAGGCGCTGGGGGCGAAGTTTTGTTCTTGTTGCTTAAAGAGCAAACCATTCCATGTTGTGAGCGCCAGGGAGAAGACATGGCTGGCGCTATGAAGGCGTTCAACGCGTCGTATGCAGGATAGGGGGAGAATGAAACCATTGCCTGATGGTCCAGTGCCGTGTGTTTGACCAGTCCATGTGGTCGACGCACTCGCTGTGGCAGAGGGAACGAAGCTCGTCGGCTGGGTTGAGAAGCAGATGAAACGTTCACTCAAATGCAGGCGACCGGCGTATGTGTTTCCCGCCCGGTCAACCCTGCGGGAGCCGTCTCCTTGATTTGCTGATGAATTTGGTAGTGGGAGAACGAGATCGGCGGTGATCTCTTGAAGCGGGTTTTGGGAATCAGGGAGGCGGAACTGTTGCCGGAACAGCGATGCTTTGGAGGGATTATGATCGGGCGATGATAGAACGGGGATGTTGAAATTGGCAGGATCAATCAGGCTCTGAGCCTTCTGAACGAAGGATGACCACGGTATCATGTTGGAAATGTGAACGTGGGGAATTGTGAGAATGTCTTGAAGCCGATAACCGATGATGTCGGGATCACGCTACAGTTAGGGATCTCGAGCGGATCCGGGCTAGGAGTAGGAAAAAAAGCCCGTGCGTTGTTGAAATTGAAGCTTCAGGGTCATCGTACAAGCTAAATCATCCTTGGCCGAGGACTAGGCCTACAGAACAAGAGGATCAAGTCGGGTGTTGGTGTCGGATTGATAAGAGGGGACGTGGTGAAGCCGGCTTCACGTGACTGTACTCAGCCTTATGTGTAGCTTGGCATCACAGCATTCTTCAAAAGATATCAAGTCTTTGGTAGAATTTCTCATTTTCGCCAGACCAGTCTTGGGTGTTGTCCGATTTTTGTTCTGACCCAATAGCCCTAAAAGAAAATGACATCTCTGAGAGAATCCAGCATATTATCTTTGCCTTATGTATAACAAGGCTGAAGTTACCTAGCACAGTGATCTACAATATGTTTGCTGGTGTGACATACTTCATTATCAGGATTGAACACTATCAAATATAGAAACTTACAGCCTTACACTATAGAGAAGCGCCTAAGACCTAGCAGTGTTTCAATTTATGAGGCTTGATTGACATGCATATACCTACTGCACAAACACTGCACAAGCCTGAGATGAGAGAGCATGAAAAACACAATAGACAAATTGGAATGAAATAGTATATAAGTGAAATGAGAGTAGAAACACTGGAAAGAAAATAAGACGTATGAATAGAACAAGGTGTGAAAGAACCAAGCTCAAAGAAACCACTGGTTTTTGAGAATTGGCTTTGGAATCCTCGTCCGAGCGAACAAGTATATAATATTGACTCAGCACTGTGCAGACTGTACAAGTGGTATTGTCTCTTGATCAAGATGATAGTGGACTTGTAAAGTGGATATTGATGTCACAGAGCCCCTGAAAAAAGAATGCGTAGAGCCTTGTTTGATTGGTGATTGATAGTTATAGGTTGAAAGACGAAACACAGCGGACATTTATTTTTCTTTCTTTCTTTCTTTCTTTTTCGTAGTCTTGTGGAGTGACCCATGACCCGAGCTTCAGCATTGCATGTGTGAATTTTGCTGACGAAAAAGTACGAAGTCCAGTATGACCAGTTGGGTTTTTGCATTGGCTGTGGAAAAGAAATGGAGAGTCTCGCATGACTGATGACAGGCATACTCTGGGTCAAACGATAGCGGAACAATTCGCTTGATTTGTTTTGATATTTGTCGATGTTTCTCCAGTGTCAGAGGGCTCGGTTTTTGCTTGCCCATTGGTCTGGAAAATGAATGGTAAGCCCAGTCTGGCTGGCAATGGCCGCCGATGAAATGTAACGGGAGACTTCTTGTTCCATAGGCTTGTTTTCTTTTTGGTTTGGTGCTTGGCTTTATTCTTTCCTTTCAGTGGTCTGAGCGCGGGGAGCCTGGTTTACTTGATGACGGCCCTTGGGTGAAGAAGGCAGAACTTTTTTTCTTTTTTTTCCCTTTTTCTTTGGTATTGTTCTTGTCAAGCCACCTTTGGTGTCAGAGAGATTGTTGTTGTCCGGTGCATCATTGAAAGGACATATAATGGATAGTGAATGGCCAGCCTAGGTGGCTGGTGGTAGTCCTTGGTCGAAAGATGACTTCAAGGAATGTATTTGGATTTTGTATTTGTGCTTTTGTATTATTTTTGCTGACTGGTCCGCAAGCCCCAGAGAGCTTTGCGTATATGTGCGAGCACTCTGTACGGAGTAGTAAAGCCCAGTTGAGAAATCCTCAAAATGTGAAACTGAGCCCCATTGAAACTGTCTGATAATGGCCCTCGAATAAAACACAGCGGGCCTCGGTTGGAAAACAAGATCAACGTGGTCTTTGCTCTTTGTTCTGCTCTTTCAACCTCTTTTCTTCTTGTTTTTTCTTTTTTTTTTTTTTTTTTTTTTTTTTTTTCTGTTGATTTTTGGTCTTTACAGTTTTTTCTTTAGTTCTTGTCGAATGATCCTCGGGCCTCAGAAGGCTCAGTGTACTCAGGAAGGACTTCCTCGGAGGAACGAGGGATAGTCATGAGACCCTGCTTTTCGGAGGCCTCGCCGTCCTCCCAAGCGGCCCTGTGCTCCGCAGAAGTGGTGCCGCGGTAGCGTCGCCAGAGGAAGACTACAGCCTGACCGACCAGCATGCCAATTGCACTGGCAGTCAACCCAGCTAGGACACCTAGAACAGCTGGGACAACGACAAAGTGCACAATGCGAGAGAAGGCACGAGCGAAGGCGCCGTGGTATGGGTGGTGCTGGTGGGGACGAGCGGAGCCGTGAGAATGGGCATGGTGACCACCGGGGCCAAACATTTCACGCCCAGGGCCATCCTTTCCGAAGGGAGGCGGGGGAGGGAAAGGCATACCGCTATGGCCTTCTTCGTGATGACCCATTGCCTTGCCCTTGGATTTGCCATGGCAGCCCTTGCGGCCGGCTTTGGCCATGCCCATCACACGAGCCTTCGCGCCAGCCAAGAGACCCCGGATGCGATAGACCAGTAGTTCCTGCAAGCATTTAGCCTTGCCATGGCACTCCTTCCAAGATAAGCGGTCGGAGGCAGGGGTGGTGTTTTCGATAACAGTCCGAGCGATGAAGAGCTCGCCGTTGGGATCCTGTAGAACGGTGATCGCAACGGTATCGACAGGAACTGGGTGGGTCTCCAGGTCGAGAACAGTGAATCGAACATCCAATAGTTCGTAGCCCGGCTCGTCAGATGGCGCCTCCATGGGCATAATTTCAAGCGCATATCCAACAGGCATTGGGTTGGAGTCCTCTCCCTCTTCATTTTGTTGCACAGCAAGAATTGGAATGGGCGGGGCCGGTGGGAAGATTTGACGGCCGTTGGCTAGTAGGCGGTTGTCTTCGATCGAGAAATCCAGAGTCTGTAGAGATTAATTAAGCCAGTGCGCATAAATGATTAGATTCAGTCGTCCTTACCAGTGATGATGGTTTGCCCTCCGTCCAGCTAACAACACCTTCGTCGTTGGTTTCACGGGATGGACATTCCGAGCAGGGTAGGTCAACAATCGCATGATGAACTTCCTGCATAAGCATAGGCTGGATATTGACAAATCCATCCTCAATCGTATCGACTTTAGATTCCATCTCGGGGACAACCAGCAGGGCGCTGGCGCCAAGAGCAGCGGCGCCACCCATCAAGACGGATCGCACAAACATGGTGCTGGAAATAAACGAAGCCCTGGGCAGAATACTAGTCAAGAGCAAGTCGATGCTCTTCTTGTTGAAGTAGTAGGCTTAATACTGATGTGGTGAACGATATCCCGAGGGGGTATGGTATGGAGATAAGTGATCTTCTTTCAGCGGGAAGTGGAGTGGGTGACGCCAGCGCCTGCGCGGCTCACGCTCTCATTGGTGGATTTAAGAAAGTCAGCCTGCTGACTGTGTAGGCGGCATCTCCCGGACTTGAAAGGGTTGTCTTCATGTTCGGATTGACAAAAAATGACTCTGTCAACACATACTGTGGTGTATCATAGCCATGAACTTTTGAGAGTGTTTGAAAATGTCAAGGACCCCAATATCATTTTGAGTATATACATGAGATTCCGCTGATGGCCGTATGCCGCAATATAGTCCAGTTCCATACATCGCTTCCAGTTGCCAGACGCACATTGCAGTTATCTAGCTTCTAGGCAGTCACCAAATGCTCCCAGTTCCCAGGAGCAGGAGATCGCTGCAAATTGACACGACTGGCCTCTCAAACACGCAGGCGGCCGTATCTTTGTGCCGTGTTTGCCAGCCCCTAGAAGATCATATAATGGTCCCCATCTCCTAGGAGCTGACTGTTTGAGATGGCAGGTCAGCCTGCCGAACGTGCAAGTAGCTTTTTGTTTGTACCATGTTGACAGCCCCTGAAAAAAAAAAATATAAAGTTCCCCGCTCCCAGGGGCTGGCGCGTTGTTGACGCGGCCTGTTCAGCAGGCCGACCATGTTGCCAACCCCTAGGAGATCATATAATGGTCTCCGCTCCCAGGAGTTGGCGTGCTCTACAGGCAGAGCATATAGCCCCTAGGAGATGATATAAATTTCTCATCTCCTAGGGCATTGTTGAATTGGCGTGCTCAGCAGGCTGACCGTACAGCCAGCTCCAGGGAGGTCATATAGTATTCCCCCGCTCGTGGGAGCTGGCTGATACTGAATGTGGTGTGGCCAGCTTGCCAAGCACGCCTCGGGAACAACAGCTAGCCCCAGGAGATGAGACTTGTATCGTCTCCCAGGGGAGCTGTTGTTCCCGCCTCGTGTTCAGCTGGCCGACCATCCAGATGGTTTTTTTTTTGTACCATCTTGCCAACTCCCAGGAGTGAAGATCATTGTATGAACTCCCAGGAGCTGGCTGTTGCTTAAAGTGGGATGGTCGGCCCCGAACACGCAGGCGATTACCAGCCCCCAGGAGATGATATGATGCTCCTATCTCCCAGGGGCTGGCTCTTGTTCCCGCCTCGTGTTCAGCAGGCCGACCATGTAGATGGTGTTGTGTGTACCATCTAACCAGCTCCCGGGAGATCATATAATGCTCTCCACTCCCGGGAGCTGGCGTGTTGTTGCAAAGTGGTATGGTCAGCCCGCCGAACACGCAGGCGGGGTCGTATATCTTGATCGTGGTATAAATCGTGGTATCATAAATTATATCAACGTGCAATTTGCACGTCTTCTGCCCACTTTGTTTTGGTGTAGGCAAACAAATTATACCCGAATATAATATACTCCAGGGCTCAGACATCGCAATTGGACATGTTCGGACACGAAATCAAGCATCGAATCGACGCGGAACTCAAACATGGAGCCAACATGGACTCGGACATGGCGTCGAAACAGTACTCGAACATGAAGTCTTTCGACGGCCGACAAGAAATCGTACATCACCCCGAAGGGTGGAAAACAAGCAAATCGTACATGTTGTCTTCCGACAACCGACAACAATAATCATACAACACCCCAAAGGGTGCACGGACAAGAAGATCGAACACAACTCAAAACAGGTACCCTGACAAATGTCATGGGCGTCGACAACAGTAATCATTCATCACCCTCCCGGGTGAGGGAAACAAGAGTACTCAGACAATGGGTTCTTGCTTCAGTGTCTTTCGTAACAGACACTTGTCGCTGTAGCTGTGCAGGTGAAGCGGCAATCGTCAGACTTGCCAGCTTGCTGCATTGTCGTTGTTGCGGTCCCAAGAGGTGGCTCATTCGTCCCTCCCCTTGGCCGCTGTCCGGTGCAGATGAAGTGGAAATCATCGGACTTGCCAGCTTGCTGCATTGTCGTTGTTGCGGTCCCAAGAGGTGGCTCATTCGTCCCTCCCCTTGGCCGCTGTCCGGTGCAGGTGAAGTGGCAATCATCGGACTTGCCAGCTTCCTGCCTTGTTGTAATATCGTATTAACCATCAAGAGGTGGCTCATTCGTCCCTCCTCTTGATGGGGCGCGCACAGTACCACTTGCCGTTAACCGAACAAAGTCCGATCTCCGGCAAAACGACGGAGGAAGCAAAAGATAATCCGCTCCAAGAATGGAACATCATATCCATGCTCCCAGCGCAGTTCCTCCAGGAACTGATCGGGACCCTCCAAGGCGTAAACCAGGTGTCCAAGGTGACCTGCCCACAGGGGGGACAAAAGCAGAATCACCATCACCAAACCGAATACGCCAAAGGAGAGCCGACGAGCTCCTGTCCACAACCCCCTCAGCAAAGCCGATCCCTCCTGCATGTCTGACTCGCCAGACGCAGTGACGGCGGGTGGGTCGGAAGGCCAAGCCCCTGGCATTTGAGGACCAGAAGTCGCTGCCTCTTCTCCGCCCATTTCCTCCCGCTGTTCTCCTGCAGACTGTTGAGCGCTGCGAGTCGGGTTTTCGGCGTCCTCAACCCTCTTGGTGCCTTCCGAAACCCCCGCACGGGAATCTGTCCCTGTTGCAACGGCATTCTTTACCGAAGCGTCTTCGGGACTGGCCACCAGGGAAGAGGTGGAGACGATCCGAGGGGCTGCTGTGACCTGCAGACCCCCAGAAGAAGACATGATGGTGGGACGAGCTTGAGTCCCTGCCGCGCGTCTCGCAAACACTGCATCAAGGTGCGAGCGAGTATCTGTCCGCAGGCTCGAAACAACAAGCTCATCCTCGGTCTGCCAAGTCAGATCTGATTCATTCAGAGTCGGCTCAGTAACAGCAGGCACACTCAGAATTTCCTCAGCTGACGATGGCTCAGTCTGGGCTGACTCAGTTGGAACTGGCTCACTAGGAGCAGGCGCATTCACAACTTCGTCGGACGGAATGGACACAGTGGACCCGAGCATAGTGCACTCAAGTACACCAGACTCGTGCAAAGTGGGCTCCAAGGTAGTTTGAGTCGGCTCGGTGACAGCTGGCTCACTCGTCACTACCTCAGTGGGCACCTGCACGGTCTCGACAGTCTCGTCTTCCTCCGAATTAGCTTGAGTCGGCTGGGAAACAGCTGGCTCACTCAAAGCTGCATCGATAGGAACCTGCTCGGTGACCTCCAGGACAGCTTGAGTCGGCTGGGGAACAGCTGGCACACTCATGGCTGCGGTGGTGGGCACCTGCTCGGTCGAGACAGTCTCGGTGTATTCCAGAACAGTCTGAGTAGGCTGAGAAACAGCTGGCTCACTCATAACTGTCTGTGTAGGCACTTGCTCGGTATTTACAGACTCGGTGTTTTCCAAAGTAGTCTGAGTTGGCTGCGAAACAGCTGGCTCGCTCATGACTCTCTGGGTGGGCACCTCCTCCGTCGAAACATGCAAAGATTGAGCTGGCTGCGAAACAGCTGGCACACTCATTTCTTGCACTTTCGGGGCTGTGTTCATCGCGTATACCTCAGAACGCCAAAGTAGAGGCGAACCAATGGCTACCACAACTTTTCTCGTGATTCGCTTCTTGTGGCTTCGTCCTTCACCCCGGCTGGGCTCAAGCACACCAGCTATTCTCTTCCGCACAGGGAGGTTGACAGTCCCTGCCGGCTGACTGCTCTCGGCAGGAGGAGACTGAGAACTCTCAGAGCCAGAAGGCTGAGGAGTCACGGAAGAGGAAGGCTGGATACTCTCAGAAGCAGAGGGCTGAGTACTCCCAGAAGAAGAGGGCTGAGCACTCCCTGAAGAGGAGGGCTGAGTATTCTCAGAAGAGGAGGACTGAGTACTCCCAGAAGAAGAGGGCTGAGCACTCCCTGAAGAAGAGGGCTGAGTATTCTCAGAAGAGGAGGACTGAGTATTCACAGGATAATGAGGCTGATTATGGCTCGGAAGAAAGCGTCGACTGAATCCGGTAAGACGGTGCCGCTTGAATCTGGGATTATGGTACCTCGGATACGTGGAGGCTGCCCAGGCGGGTGCTGTCCTGCCCTTGAAGATAGAGCGATTCTTCCGTCGTGCATATTGGATTCTGGCCCTTAGTTCGGGACGCGCAGGGATTCGGTCGCCAACATCAGCCATGCGGATATTCCTTGAGACACAAGGTGTGGTCATAGGCTCCCAGGCCATACAGCCGTCAAAGTTGTGATCGTTCAAATCGAGGTTGGCCATTCGGTTCGTAAGTTCCATCATGTCGTAAGTCTCCACTTGCTGGGGAGCGATGGCAAGGGTGGTAGCTGGTGCTTCTTGCACCATTGCATTTAGGTCGCTCATCTGCGACTCAGCGGCAAGGTCATGTCCTGTGGGCTCAATGCTGATACTCATGGGTGTCCCGGCCCGTGATGTTTCGCGAGTATCCAGTACAATAACATTGCTAAGACTGTCCGATGGGGACACCGAGGACAAATCGGACTCATCGGAAATGGAGTCCAGGTCCTCGTTAGAATCAGAGCTAAGGTCATCATCAGACTTGGAGTTCATGTCCTCATCAGAATCAGAGCTAGATTCATCATCAGAATCAGAGCTAAAGTCACATTCGCGTTCCTCCCGAGGGAGCGTTCTCGGGCCACGTTCTTTTCCCTTGCCGACTTGCTGCTGGTGAATGTCAAATGCATGAATCTGGGAGCTTGGTTCCTGGCTTCCTATGATATGGCGGCGTGCAATACCCACAGGGCTGGCCTGAGACTCAGCAGTCAGTGCACTGCGAGTGTAGGCGTGACTAGCCCTTGTGTTTTGCATGGCTGCGGCTTGCATTCTTTCCATGGTTCTGAGGAGGCCGTTCATCCGGTTCTCCGCGCCTGCAAGGCGCTCTTGTCGTCGCTGGCTGTATTCTGCTGCGGCAACTATATGTCGTAATTCCTGGACATCTATCTGATCCTTCTGGAGGGTCTGATTTAGCTTTTGAAGGGCGGTCTTGTTGCCCTCGGCCCGTTCAAGTTGTTCTGCGAGTTCGTCCAGTCGATTCTCAAGGATTCGAAACTGCGCATCAACGTCACGGGATCGGTTATTGTTCGAACGATGGATCATTGCATCCATCTGGTGTTGATCAACAAAGCGGGTGGTGCGTCGCTGTGCTGCCACTTGGGATCGCAGAGCTGACACCTGGGAATTGACCCGGCTCAGCTCGGCTTCCTGGCGAGAAATCACAGCTTCAGCATCGGCAATCATCTCATTTGCCGAGCGAATATCGCGCTGCGTTGGGTGGACATTGGTTTGTCCAAACGGAGAAGAATGGGCTGTGTCGGGGCCCACCAGGGGGGTGATCCTGTGCGGAGGACCCTGGTTGTTGAGATTGAGAGGAGTGGCATTGGAAGAAGGACCAGGCACCATCTGGAACCCAATGGGCCCATTGCGTGGTGTAGCATTCAGAGGGATAGCAGGAGTTGGGGGGCCCGCCATATTGAACCCAATGACCCCGTTGCGACGAGGCGGACCTTGGTGAGTTGCCATAATGAACTTTAAAAGATGTTAGAGATGGAACTTGCAAAGGCTGGCTGTACAGGCAGCTGCACTCACAATAGGAAAGGGTGACACGGTACGTAAGTCGTTCGGAGACTTCAGAAAAATTGTCAATGGCTGCTACGTTGGAAGTGGTTAGAGACCATGCGTGTGAAATGAAGAAATGGGTTGCAAAGACTCGGGTTGGAAAGACTTACACAAAAATAGAAGCAAATGCACGCATCGACGAACGTGCGGGAACAGTTCTTGTCAGGTTTATCCAGAGACTGGACATACAGCTACGCAACAGGGTGGTCAGAAAAGGTAGACAGCCTACTTGGAAGGGTGGGTGGGACTAACGAGAAACAAGAAGAATCACAAACTCCTCCGGCTTTGTAGAAGAAGCAGAAGAATCAAAAGAAGAAAACTGACGAAGATGGGGAAGAGAAGAGAGAGGAGAAGAGAAAAAGAGAAGTTGAGACCAGAGGGGAGAATTTAAAGGCCTCGACGAACGACGTGATGGTGAGGCTTTAGGTGCCTATTGGTCAATGACATTTCTCAATGACTTAGTCTCACGGCCCTACAACAATAGATGCACTCACTCATTGTTGATTGGAGACAAGCCGTTTTTCTAACAATGACTATTATGAAATCTTCAATAAAGAGAACAATGGGGTGTCTCCTTGGACCCTTGAATGCCCTTTTTCTAGGAATAGGATGTCTTTTTCGATAGTACAGTCTACATTAAGCTTTTGATCTTATATTTGTTTAACCATACTGTCCTATTTTGCCTATAATTACTAATATATGTAGGTTTCCAAGGTTCAGATCTAGGCCATGTGGAATGTCGTCGGCTTGCCGAAGGCCAGTGCACTCGGCTTATCGAGTAGGTTGTTCTTCCAAGGGTCAAAGCAAGTCGTGACAATTCCGTGTCACAGGATTTACTTTGGTCTAGATAAAGTCGTTCCGAGGGTACTGTCACCAAGGCTCTTAGTCGAGGGATCGGTCCTGTCCCTGTGTTTCCTCCCTCTTGGGTGACAACTCGGTATTAGGCATTGATGTGCAAGCTTTGGCAGTTCTCTACTCTACGGCATGAGTACGTTGAGTTTCAAACTTCCCCACAAGTGTATCATTGCTGACACCATGACGAGGTTGTTCCCAGGAGGCGCTTGTGGGGGTAGCCTCCAGCCCCACAAAGTCCCCGAACAAGAACACGGTACGGGCCGGTCCCGCTGCAAGCAACCTTTCCACCTGGCAACCTTGGAAGCGCATCCAGCAACAAACCCTGCAATTCGGTGACAATCTACATTCTACGAATTCCGCGACGCAACGACTATCTAGACTCAGTCTATATTGCCAGCAATCACACAATGGTTTTGACATTCGAGTTTGTGAGCACCTTCAGGACGAAAAATGACACGAGGTCGAGCTTGTACTAATGTACGTATGATGAATAGTTTGCAGCTATTAAAAACGTTTCAACTAGCAGTTGACACAACTGAGAACATGGCTTAGTTGCGAGGCGGGATTTTGCAATCATGCCATGATCTCGCAAAGACAGTTCCACAACTACATTTGGGGCTTTTGACCTCATTAGGTATGTGTTCTCATTTGCTCAAATCATCCGAAATGTTCGCGACCCAAAAGAGACTGATATCATGTTTGCTTAAGATTCCCTATCAAGACCTCGAAGATGACTCAACACGACCCCAGCTTCTTGGAGAGATTGTACGACAAGTTGTCCTATCTTTCGAGAGTAAGGTTAAAGCCGATTCGACTCTTTGGTATTCACCACTGCAACCCCCGATCCTCTTTGACCGCGAGGGACTAAAGAGGCGATTGGTACCTCGGGGGCTTCAGCACAGTGCGACAGGACATGAGACATGACATAACACAGAATACAAACCGGGGTAACACGATGGTCTATCCAGCAGCTTTCGTCAAGGGTTTTGATATGAGGAATATGGAAGACGGACGCAATCTGTATCTACCAAACCTAGTTGAGGGATATTTGGTAAAATTCATTCGAAACCTAAAGGTCCAAAAAGCCTTGATGTCTTATCAATATCTTGTACAATTCCATCCACTCAAAGCTTAGACTTCTTGCCAGTCACGTTGGGTACATCATCCCCCGAAAGCAGGAAGTCCGGGTAAGATAGGCTGCCACCGGAAGCTCCACCTGCCGACATGCGCCAGTTTGCACCATCCACTGTTCATGAGTCAGTATGGAGGAACCTTGATCATGCTTTCTTTGATCTGATAACTCACCAACAAGCGTTTGGCCAGTGACATAGCTGCCAGTGTCTGAGAAAAGATAGACGGTAGCGTCGGCAATGTCACGGACATGGCCAAAGCGGCCAAGCGGCTGCGCCTTGGTGTAAGCCTCCAAGGCATCTGATGGCAGCAGGCGCTCCAAGCCCTAAGAATGGTAAGCTGATCGAGTTTTGACATGGGAATAGCACTATTGAGACTTCTACTAACCTCGGTCTGTGCAATAGGGCCCGGCGCAATGATATTGGAGGTCATTCCACGAGGACCATACTCGATCGCGACACTGTGCGACAAGGCATCGATGCCGGCTTTGGCAACGGATACATGGGTCTGGAAGGGCATACCCCGGTAGTGGATGGTAGCACTGACAAAGATGATTCTTCCGCCGGTTCCAATTGGTGATGGTTGAACTGGAGGATTGTCAGTTTCAATGACACACATGGGTTAATATTCACCAACTGATGCACTCACGAGTCTTTGGGTCCATTCTGTGCTTGCTGGCTGACTCCCTCAGATGCGGAAGAGTTGCCTTGAGGGTATTGTAGGAGCCCAATACATCAATATCCATAACTGACTTGAAAGCATTGACCGAGAGTTGCTCGATCGAGGCGAGGAAATTACCTGCCGCTCCAGCACTGTTGGATACTATTAATACGAAAATCGCACACCAGGGTCATGTCAGTATATCGACCTACATGACAAAATCAATGCCTCCTAGCTCCTTGACACAGCGTTCAACTGCTTGTTCCAAATTCTCGAGCTTTCGCACGTCCACGGAACCAATTCCAATCACCTTGGCACCGGGTCGGGCTGTTGCGATGTCCTGGGCGACACGCTCGGTCTTCTCTACATTGCGACCGATAATGCAGGCGTTGGCACCGAGATGTACTAGTGCCCGCACCTGGGCACTGCAGATAGTTCCAGCACCACCTGTGCAGAAGACTACTTTATTTGCTAGATCGAGGAGTTAGTGTGGTTGTGTAATGACCATAGCAAAGAGTGCTCACCAAATATCCCATCTTTCCAGGAGTCACTCAGATATTCTGTCTTGGGCAGCGGCATTTTGATTACGGAGTACTATGTCTATGGATATATTCCAATAAAGATTGTGGGGGAGTTGGGGGATGTTCAGGAGGTACTTTATGATAACCCGTGGACCCTCTCCCGCACTCGGACCTCGGCGTATTCGGCCGCCCAATTTAATGCATTTGTGCATTCCAAACTTGGATGATTACTGATCAATGACCGATTGGAAATTTACACTGTAAACTTCGAAGGAATTATTTCAAAGCTGAAACAGTGAGTTTGAGCTGTATGGCGAGAAAAATACTTAATAATTTCATCAAGCTATCATCAATAGTATTCGATGTATCTAGGGGCCATATATATATTTCTCCCAAGGCCAGAAAAATCCCATGCTTAATACATCCCTCATTGGAGCATGAGTGGCAATTTATTGTAGCTATAGATTTCGGTTTATGTCCTATATACTGCAAGAGTAGGATAGATTCTGGACAACAGGCTTATATTTGCATATATATAGACACTCATTTGACTGCAGAAACAACTAAATTCCCCCATTACGATGAAGAACATATACACCCGTTGATTGGCTGGCGCGTAGACGACCCGCGACGTCACCAAAAAAAATAACCGCCTCTTTTCTTTGCTTGTTGACGGGACTCGTTTCAGATTCAGTCATCTCATCTAATACAAGAAGAAAAGCGATTATCCTTGCAATATACAATATGGCTTGCCCCATCAGCGTCAGCAAGTTTGTTGGCACTGTCTCTCTCGGTCTTCTTACCGTACGTCAATCGCATCAATCGCATCATCAAGAATGATCAGCTACTAATGAGAATCCTTTGAATTCACAGGGGCTCTCTTACTCGACATCAGCCATCACCATCCCAGCTCTACAGCTCCTCCCAACAGCGACAACTGCCGCCCGCTCCCTGAACGAAGTGAAGCGCCTAGCTCGCCGAAATGCCCTACGCCTATCCTTCCTGACCAATACCTGCTTCTGTTTTGCATGGTGCCTCTCATCCCCGCGCCGCCGACACCCATACATGATCTGGCTGTGCGCAGTCTCTACGATCAGTGCCCACGGTGTTGATTTCTGGTTCAACCGTCATCTCGGCTTCAAGAATTGGGTATCGGCTGTGATTCGCGACGTTTCCCACTTTTCCCTGGTCCGGGACTCGAACACAAATAAGGATGAAGACCTTGTCGTTGTTGAGTCCCAAGGTGATGTGAATGGCGAAACCATTCAACACGAGATGGACCGGGAGCGCCGGCTCCACCGAGCGCGTACCTGGTTGTCTGGTATTGCCCTTTCGATTGGCATTGTTGGTCTTTGGGGTGATAAGAGGTGATTTTTCTCCTCTTTGTGTCATGCTGCGAAGTCTTTCTTTATGATGACCACACCGGTTGTTGTTCCATTTGTATTTTTCGAAATGGCCATTTCGTCACTGTTTCTTTGATCGCGTCTAATATGTTTTATGTCTGATACCTTTCTATCCTGTCCTCCTTCTCTATTGCACATCTTTCCCTGTACATTATATCACAATCAGGCTAGGAATGGAGTGACTTCTTACCTTGAATCCGATGTATCCAAGTCATTTCTGCGGAATCGCCAATCCGCCTAGTCGACTTAAAGCTTGTCGGCTCTAATACATACCTGTTATTGACTGATGTATGTGGGAAGGATGGGATTGATATCAAAATCGACATTACAGTTTCTGTACAAATAAATTTACAGCACAACCATATCTAAGACACATCAGCACAATAAAGTGCGAGGGCAATGGTTTCACACATACAAAGAAGATATGCCATCTGAATTACGTGGCTTGGACCAGCTAGCATAAATTTTCACATCATCCTTATTCTCTCTTAATATGCTCTTGATGGTCTGTGGATAATTAAGTAGTTATGGCGCTAAAAGCCAAGTGACTCGAGAACAGACAAAAAAATATAGTCCCCCCTTATTGCTCAGCTGACCAACGCCAAAGCTGTAATTTTGTACATGGGGTGTGTTATAAAATGCATAGAATATACAACATCTCTGTAAAGGTATATGGATGATGGCTCGGTCGCATTGGCTACTATGTCGGACTGAGGAAGAAATGATTATGCTCTCACAAATGTTTGAAGAGGTCAAATATGCCATGTACCCCTGTTGGCTGCGATTAATGATTAATATCGTTTAGAATGGAAAAAAGAGTCCTAGACCAAATGAGGGTTTAAGGATCATAGCCAGACCAATGACCCTGAAGAATTGAAATTAATCCAAATACGCTAAGGATAATGGCGGAGTTGTCGGAAATGAGCCCCTCGGCGCAAATAGAATAAAAGGGACAGCACAGCTTATATTTCTATGGAACAGAGAACGTCGATTCAGGTCAAATCTTTGGACTTCGGAAATATGGTCAACTTCACTATCGTCAATGGTCAAATCTACACGCCGGGCCTGGCAATTGTTGATGCGCCACAGCCTAACACGCCCCTCGGAGGAGGCAAGTCAATACGCCAAAACCTATCAACTCCTTGCTAATTTCTCAGACAACCTGCAAGTCGCAATCGACGTGTCCGGCAATGGCAAACTACCATGGCCGGCATCAACCGAGCCCGACTCATCTACCCAGTTTCACGACATCACACTTTTCTTAACCTCTGGGTCTCATAACTTCACCATCTCCAACGGCACAAAGCCCGCATCCAACACAAGCTATGTCGGTCCCGTCTTGGACCTCGAGCCTTCATCCACCGTCAAACATGTGAATTGGATTTGGCCCGAATGTCTCGTGGGAGATGGCTCCGGTTCAAAAGACTCGGCACGTGGGGCATACAACATCTCCATGCACCAATCTTTCCGTTGGAATGGAACCGACTATTATACCGTCTTTGACCTGCCAATCTCTGTCACCAACAGTATACCCAAGGATGACGACCGGGTCGACTGCGATCTGCTAGAAAACAAGCTTCTTAGCGCGGCGGAGATCGGCGAGAGCTCGGATACGCTGCCTGGGCAGCCGTGGGTTGAAGGTGGAGCGAGCACGACGGTATCGAGTCCCGATGCGACTCAGACGGGAACGGGTAGTCGGTCTCATTTAGGCTTCAAAAGAGTAGCTGGTCTGGCGATCGCCACGACGGCTATTTTACATTTCCTAGGGTGAGACTTTATTCCTGGATCTGGATATTGTGGGGTTGGACCCCCTTGTACACTACTTATTATCTTTGTTCTGTAATTAATATTTATATACTCCCACGTGCGACCATCTATTCCAATATGACTGTCAGGCGATTATTCATGGTCGATCGGCACATAACGTTGTTACTCCGGTAGTGTTAACAATATCTACGTTTTACTCCTTCCGTCGATGATCGTCGTTGATATCTCTGTGTTCGGAAGGTATACATTCTCATCTTGATTCTGCAATTATCCCTTGGTTGCTCAGCTTTCTCTCCTAGCAATTCCCATGATCCTCAATTAACGGTTTCTGCCTCAACTCCGGTCAAGTATGTCAGGAGCATTGTATCACGTATATCGCAATCGACCCCGACATTGAAACCTACCAACTTGCTCACTTTCCATGACGCTTTTGTCTGCCCCTCGACGAGTCCTCCGGTACCGCATCGTCCGAGCTCTAATTATAATATTCGCAATATGGAATCTGGCAGAAATACATCTGATTCATCACCGAATTTACAAAGCTGATTACACAGCCCTCCGACGTCGGCCGCAAAAGCAAGAACGAATATACATTGCAAGCATCAATTGGAACAATGAGCTCATCTTACGCAGTCACTGGAGCAAGGCACTCAAGCTGCTGGTCTTGAAACTTGGTCCTGAAAATGTGTTCATCAGCATCTACGAGAGTGGGAGCTATGATAACACGAAAGGTGCATTGAGAGAACTGGATTGGGAGCTTGAGCGAATGCGAGTGCCCCGAAATATCACTTTATCGCCTGTAACACATGAAGATGAAATCGCCGCACCAGCAAGGGGTGAAGGCTGGATTCGCACTCCTGATGGGAAGAAACAACTCAGAAGGATCCCATATCTAGCGCGAATACGGAACTTGAGCTTGCAGCCTCTACGAGATCTTGCAAGCAAGGGTATCACTTTTGACAAAATCCTGTTTCTGAATGACGTTGTGTTCACGGTTCGTTTTGATTGTCTTACCTTCCATCAAATGCGTATACTGATTCAGCTGTTGGTGACCAGCCGAACGACGTTCTCCGACTTCTAGACACCAATGACGGCGAGTATGGTGCTGCTTGCTCGTTGGATTTCTCTAAGCCTCCGAGTTTCTATGATACTTTTGCTCTCCGAGATAGCAATGGCCATGAACCCATCATGCAGACATGGCCCTATTTCACTTCGGCGGCATCGCGACAAGGAATGAGAGATATGTCTGCTGTTCCTGTCGCAAGTTGTTGGAATGGAATGGGTGGGTCCGACCTCCATTCTAGAAATCGTTGCGTAAACTGATATATCTCTAGTGGCGATGCCTGCAAGTCCATTCATTGCTAAATCCCCACTTCGCTTCCGAGGAATCCCCGACTCACTAGCAAGCTATCATCTTGAAGGCTCCGAGTGTTGTCTCATCCATATAGACAACCCATTATCAGTAGAAAAGGGTGTTTATTTGAACCCTTTGGTGAGGGTTGGGTACAGCGGTGCCGCAAATGCAGCTGTTCATCCGATGATGAATTGGCTCTCTACGGGGCGGATTCTCCGTGGGCTGTGGGTCAATCGACTGCGCCGCTTCGGTATCAGTACATGGTTGAAAGAAAAAGTAGTTCGAATGCGGGTAGATAGATGGAGAGCTTTGAGTGCTGGAAATGAAGAGTATGGGGAAATTTGCATTATCAATGAGATGCAAATCCTGCATCGATATGGGTGGGCACATGTGTAGAGAAGAGTGGGTGGCACTTTTTTGTATATATCTAGTCTCATCGAACAAGCCTACTGTTGTGGCTAGCTGCTTATAGTACGTTCAATATTTTAACGTCGGACAAATACATGCTTGAGGAATGAAGGAGCGATACCTAGTTCGGAGATCAGTTCTTCAACAAGAGACTGATCTATGATATATGAGATTCAACGCCCATCTTCTACACCACGCACGAGACCCAAGTCCCAGTATATACGTAGACGATCATTTTCTGTCTAATATCCATTCCTCATCTTTTCTCAATTTGACTTTTTATACCTCCGAGGCCGGCCCACCAGTGCAAAAGCGAGAGCGATTATGTAACCACGAGCGATTCGCCCCATTTGGGACTGTATCAAACAGCTAAACCCCCACTTACCTTCCATATATCATCTAAATCTTCAAATACACATAATGGCAACAGTCCAAATCCTAGATGGAGGCCTTGGCACCTCCCTGGGAGACATATACAACATCAAATTCGATTCCACAACAACCCCACTCTGGGCCTCACACCTGCTAGTGAGCGACCCAGCAACGCTGCAAGCATGCCAACGCGACTTCGGTGTCGCCGGAGTAGACGTTCTCCTAACAGCAACCTACCAAGTATCCGCTGAAGGCTTTGCACGGACCAAAACCACCCAATTCCCAGATGGGATCCCACGCAGCGCGGTAGGGCCCTTCCTGCAGAAAGCCGTGGACATCGCCGAGGAAGCGAAAGTGCGTGAGAGCGCAAGCGTCGCGCTCAGCCTTGGCCCTTATGGCGCGTGCATGATCCCAGGCCAGGAATATAGCGGTGCATATGACGCCGAGCATGACTCTGAGGAATCATTGTATTTGTGGCACTTGGATCGATTGCGGATGTTCGCCGAGGCGGATGGGGATCTTGTCTCGCGAGTGCAGTATGTTGCGTTTGAGACCTTGCCGCGGCTTGATGAGGTTCGTGCTGTGAGGCGGGCGATTCGGGATTCTGCTTTCGATGTGCCGTTTTGGATTGCTTGTGTTTTTCCGCGCGATGATGATCTCTTGCCTGATGGGAGCTCGGTGGAGCAGGTTGTGCGGGCTGCGTTTGCGCCTGTGGAGGGTGCGGCTGTTCCCTGGGGAATTGGAATCAATTGTACCAAGACGTATAAGCTGGCTGGGCTTATTGATTTGTTTGGTCGTGCTGTTGCGGAGGGTATTGCCGAGGGATGGATATCTGCTTTGCCGAGTTTTGTTATGTATCCTGATGGGACTAATGGGGAGGTGTACAATACTACGACGCAAGTCTGGGAGAAAAATGATGCTTTGAGTGATAAGGTAAGTGCTAATGTGAGTACTATGGACGCTTTCAACCTTTCCGGTGGGAAATTATTGGGCAAGGACAATTATACTGACGTGGAATTTAGCGGTCTTGGGAGGAGCAGTTGGCGCAAGTGGTCAATGAAGCCTATGAAAAGGGCCATTTCAATTCGTTCCTTGTAGGAGGGTGCTGCAAAGCTTCCCACCACGATATCAAGAAACTTGGACAGCAGTTCAAGACTCAAAAGGCATTATGAGTACGGGATACCAATTAAGAATGGAATTTGAAATTCAAATTGAATGAAATGCAATAATGTATAGTACAGCGCTAATGTTGAATAGCCGGCTCGGCATGCAAATATTTATACATCATAAAGTCGTTTAAAAGAGCCAATCGGTGAACTTTTTCCAAGCATTGTTATGTGGGTTTTCAACTGGCATAATCTCCCCATCTAGGAGACGGCCCGACCATAGGTCGATGTGAGCGGCTCGCTCAAACTGTACAATATGTTAGCAACTCTTCGTGAAAATGGAAAAAATAAGAGGGGTTAAACGAACCTTGGTGCGATGCCAGAGCTTCCAGCAAATAATGGGAACGATGAAGATGGGGATACCAATATATGACGCAACAAAGGTGGACGTATTCCAGTTGCCCTTCAAGAAGACGGGGAAACCAGCAATCAGAGTAATGATAGTAGAACCGATAAAGCCAACCCATGCGGCATAAGGTTGAAAGGGTGCTTTCCATGGGATGGTGTCACGGCTAACATTTTGTTTTTTCATTGCGGCAAAGAAACGAATGTAACAGAAGCAAAGGGTTGCCCAAGCAATCAAACCGGCAACGGTGCTCAGGTTCAAAAGCCAGCTGAACGCCTGTGATGCACCACCACTGCCGAGACTCAGGTACGCCAGCGGCCCAAAGAGCCAGGCGGCAATGACAGCCACATATGGCACACCTTGCTTGTTCACGCGCCCGAAAATCTGGGGTAGCTGGTGGTCTGTGGTCATAGCGACAATCATGCGTGATCCGACCCAGCAGTATGAGTTACCGGCAGACCACGCGGCGATGAGAATGCACGCATTCACGATAGAGGGCAGAGCGTTAATGCCGGCGTTGGTGATGGCAATAACGAAGGGCGAGCTGTTCGCGTTGTTATCACCAGAGACGAGACCAGCGGATCTTGGGTCCACGATCATGCCGATGAGAAGGGCTCCGAGAACGTAGAAAAAGGCAATACGGTAGGTGACACGGCGGGCGGCTTTGGGAATAGCACGATGAGGATCGACTGATTCAGATGCGGTGATGACGACAGTCTCAACACCGATAAAGCTGAACGAGGCGTTGACGAACGACGACAAGAAGCCAAGGAAGTGACCTGTCGGACCGGTGATACCGTTGAAGTTTGTCCATGGTCCAGGGTTATTCCAGTAGCGGAATCCAATGGCGTCCCCCTTGGGACCACCGCCTGCAGTGATGACAATGGAGACAATGACCAAGCCAAGGAAGCAGAGAACCTTGACGGCACCTCCAAAGACTTCAGTTTCACCATAGAATCGCACACTCATCAAATTGATAGCCAAAATGAGTGCCAATCCGACAGTAATTACCACAGCAGGCGTAATATCGGTCCAATATGAAACAATGACCGCGGCTGCAGAGACTTCCGAGGCGATGGCGATCGTGTAACAGTATCCGTATGAAATAGCGAGGGAGAACCCGACGGCCGGGTCAATAAATCGAGTCGCCCAGTGAGGGAAGGATCCAGCAGTCGGGAAAAGCGTCGCGAGTTCGGCGATACTTTGCATAACGCACCACAAAACTCCTCCCACAATGATATACGCGAGCAGTAAACCGGCAGGGCCAGCCTTGGCATAGGCAGCGCCAGTTCCGACAAACAAACCGGTGCCGATACCACTGCAGAAACCAATCATGGTGACCTGGTAATTGCGCAGGCGTCGCTGCAAGGCCGCACGGCCGCCAACATTGAGCTCGAACTCTCCTTTAGGATTTTCATTGTAATCGTCAAAATCGGCGCCGGGAGCCGGCTGGACCTTGTCGTTTTCGAAACCGGACTTTTCCATGTTGTCGTGTGTAGTGCCGATCATGCAGGCCAATTTTTCCTCCGTAGATTGTACCCCGGAGGCTGGAAAATTTGTCAAAGCGCTTAGTGGGAAACAGCTTGCTTTTGTTCCAAAATCCCACTCATGTCTAAGCACGACATCAGCCATGCACACCGGTTGTTTCTCCACAGTGGGGAGGCTCATTGGGCTGCATTGCGCTGAATTTGGCTTCTCTCCACTTTTATGGGAGGCGATTGACTAAAAATTTCCATCTTTGCCATGATCCCGATGGGGAGGCAAAAAAAAAACATCCAGTTTCATGTTGTTCCAAGGCTCAGGGTCGATCTATGGCAATGGTTCAGTTCCCTGGAAATTATTGCCAGTAGATTGGCCAGTGTCAGGCCAGTAGATCGAGTTCCAATGGGGCAAGAGGCCAGAACCTTGGAATGTTCGGATGCATCTGGAAGGCCACGTGATGTGCCGGATAGATCTCAGAATCAGTTAAAGTTTATGCCTCAAATATGTAAGCATGTTGTGCATAACTCTTCCCCTGGGCATGACATTCTCAACCGGGTCATATGTCCGCAGGACGAGATGGATATGTACATAGTATCTCAAAATCAATCTTAATAATTCAATTTCAACCAATCGCATTTCTGAAAGGCTCAGGGAACTCGATCTGCTATATCAGACAGAACTATAACTCACGGAAATGTATTTAAATGAGTCACAAATTACAATATTTCGAGAAATTATCTCCCAGTGAAACACATGCTCCAACCTGTACTTCGTATGGAGCACGTCAAGTCATATATTGTAGAGTGGCAAAGTTGGATTTCCAATGAATTACTCAAGTGGCTGATCTTGGTGATCATTTTCTCTAGCCATAGCGACCCCGCAGGGCCCGCACCTTCAACGCCGTAACTTACCGTGAACCATGCCGTGGCCATGGTGTTTTCCATCCAGACAAGGCCAGCCAAAAGCGGCGACGACAGTAGGAACTCAATACAATGAGATGGCTACATCTTGCTTTGTCAATATGCTGAAATATATCTACAGTCTCCACTCCCATCAGACGAGACTGGTTTGAAGTTGCTGTATGACGGGCTAGCCCCGAAAGTCGAGTTTGTAAGCCCGTCTCTGTCAACACTTCGATGATTAATAATTTGCGTAGCATTGTTGCTGTCCATGGACTGGGTGGCCACCGCGAAAATTCATGGACGGCAGCCAATGGTATCAACTGGCTCCGTGATCTGCTGCCAAGTGATATGCTTAACACTCGGGTCCTTTCCTGGGGTTATAGTGTGCCCACTAGGGAAAATTCCCAGCAGAAGATATCTGAGCAACTAGTCCATGACTTGTGGGAAATGAGATCATCAACATACGTACGAGTTCACCTAATATAAAACAAGAAATAAATCTTGAATCAGTACTAACGGGTACAACACAGACAGCCAATCGTCCGATCATATTTATTGCACATAGTCTCGGAGGACCTATAATCAAAAGTGTAAGTTTCGAGATCCCATAAAAAAGAGAGGCGTCATTGATCATCGCTAGGCCCTGCTTTATGCAGACTCAGTACAAGAAACCCATACTTTGGATGTTCGCAGCATCAGATTCTCAACCCATGGAGTGATCTTCATGGGGACGCCTGAGCTAGATTCAAGGCTCATTGGACTGCAAAGCTACTTAGCTAATGCTAGGGATTCTGAGCAGGAGTCCAGCGACATTTACAAGGAAGCACAGTGGTTGGTGACTACATTACAGAGCTACCCATCAATCGGCCAAGAATTTTGGAGTTTGTTTGTTCACGAGAGATCTGAATTCATGTCAACAAACATCACATTGGACCAGGTAAGAGCGTAATAACTATATTGGCAGTGGGTTGTTTGCTTACACTAGGTTGGTTCTCTTTCAACAAGACTGCGTCGTCCCCACTGCAGAAAAATCTGTCACACATTTTCATCCAAGCTGATCACTGTGAAATGATTAAGTTCGGATCGTCGTTGGACGAGGGTTATTTGAAAATCAAAGAGCATCTTATTTGTGCCGTAGAGATGCTGGAACAAGAAACAGACGCCTAAAAAATTAGGCCACATTATAAAATCCACTCTTGGGTCTTGGGATCAAATCACTCCTTAATTCCTCTCTAGTTAGCAGATTTTACACATAAGGAACGGATAGGCCAAGGCTATTATGGCCTTACTTAATTATAGGCATCCATCCATGCTCACTTCCTTCTATCTCCTTTCGGCTCATACAAGCCCAATCCGGCAGGGGCGTTCAATAGTGTCAGGCACCTCATTTATGTAGCACACAACCCTCCCAACCCTCTTCAAGGGGTGTTCTATTTATTATTATTAGCCCTATGGTTTGAAACAAGCTGTCCATGCCAAGGCTCGGATTTTATCACAATTCCCGCACCCACATGCTGCCAAGTGCCAAGTTTCATCATGTTCCCTAGCACACAGGCTTATGCAGATTTAATGCCGATCCAAGATAGCCAGCTGTTGATCATAATACGGCAGAATCTGTGCCGTGTCAATATATTGCTATCTGGTCTGTAGACGTAATAATGTACATAAAAACCCGTTCAAATCAACCCCACTCTTACAATATAGAAAGCTCGATAATTTTGACTTGCGCTTCCACACCTGGGCACCCAGGCTGCCCGGAGGGGTTTGACCCGCTTATGTAATACCATATCTAACCTTGGAACCTTGCCCTGTTGAGCGCCAAGACTACCTAACTAGGCCTAGGCCAACTCCTTTCGCATGTGCTTTTGGGACCGCCCACGTGATTGGAGCTATACCATTGGCTCTCTTCTCCATTCCGCTCTTTTGTTCCGAATTCTGCCTTATTTTCCATTGTGTAGAGCATTTGCCCTCTGAGTCCTGACGATCCCTCGATTTTAACGGGGGTTCCAGGGTTAACGATCTGTTATTAAATAATCCTGTCAGTAGCGCCAATCATTTGGTCTCCTGGAAGACCGGTTAAATCTTATTCTGTCCCCTCATTCTCTCCTCTCCATCCCGAATACCATTTATATCTATCGCGTTCGACTCCTTAACTTCATCCTCCTAATAATCTCTTCTGTTTGCACTCTCCATGTTGGAATGACTGAAATGGAACCTTTTCAGCGGGATGCCCAGCCGGCAGCCTCCTCGCTTACCTCCAACGGGGAGGAGTCTCCTTCACCCGTAAAGCCAACGCCGGCCCCCAAGGCCGGCAGAAAATTGCCAGGATGGCTAGATCACTTCAATGCCCGCGATCTTAAAATGCTGTTCCGTTGTTCACTAGCTGCGTGGGTGGCGCTGCTTTTGGTCTTCATCATGCCGTCCCTAAGCGTCATCGGCACCGCGACATTTTTCGCAGCGTAAGCGCGTCTTTTATATCCTTTTGGTATTGATCGCTAATCCTTTTGCGATCAGTCTAGTTCTTTTTATGGTGCCTCCGACCGGCATTGTTTTCATTTTCCTTCTAGGAACTCTGACCCTGATCATTGGTATGGCCTTGGGCTGGGGCTGGGGTGTCGTCGTCACGATAGCAGCTAGGGCAGCCAGGCCGGCGGCCGAGACCCAAGCCAGGATTCAAGCCCTTGGGCAGGCCGCATACAGCCAGGCCAATGCCACCGGACGACCAGTGGCAGCTATCCAGCAAGAGCTTGTCTACACCGGCTGGATGCTTGACTCTCGTGTCACGGCTGTCTATTACTGTCTTATATGTTTATTCATCTATTTAATCGTGAGACCTTCTTGATCCCACATGATCATCAGTACACTAACTGTTCTGCGCAGTCTCGTCTTCGGGCTTCGAACCCCAAATTCATTTTAATGCAGATATTCGCAATCATAATCATCGATGTTACTCTGACTATTGGCCCGCTGCTTCCATCATTCAGCGGTACTATCCCCAAGGTTTTGATTGAACCTGCCGCTATTGGAATTGGATTGGGGCTGGTTTCCCATTTCATCTTCTTCCCCCGGTCCACCTCCCATGTTGTGCTTGGTGGCATGGAGGAACTGGTGCGGTTACTCAAAGGACCTCTGGATGCCACGGAGAATAGTCTTCTGAAAAGGGAAGACTTAGCTATGGCAGATTTACAAAAAATCAAGGTGAAGGCCATTGCTAGTTACAAGGACCTCAAGCCGGCACTCAGTTTTTTGCCGTTGGACTTTTCCGTCGGTTGGTGGGGTGCTGACGACGTCAAAAGTATGAAAAAGCCAATTCGCCAGGCTTTGATAAATAGTTTGTCCCTTTTGGAAGTTCACATCGCCCGCATTGGGGGAAGAAAAAAGCTAGAAAAGTTGCACCAGCTCACTGTGGATCGGGATTCTGACTCTGAATCCCAAGCTCATGGAAATGAGAAAAAACATCCACGCGAGGTTGGCATGCGCCAGCTAATGGAGAGTGCGAATTTAGTACAAGCACTGCGAAGTCCGGAACATGAATCTATGCGATCGGAAACTGTCGAGGTATTGCGCGAGTCCATCAAGGATATCATTCCAGCGTGTCAGGGAGCTGTTGAGATCATTGCGGAATCTCTCAACACGGTTAACAAGCGTTGGTTCGGTCGCCCTTCCAGGGAACATCTCAATCAATTGCACGAGCGCAGTGAGACTGCATTGCAGAATCTTCAGGCTCTGCGCACAACGTTTGCAACGGAAACCACTGAACGGTTAATTCAAACACATGCGGAGATCTTCGACGAAAAGGGCATTCTCAAGGCTCTTGACGAAACTTCCTTGCCCAGAGTTCGAGGTATCACTATGGGCATGATTTTCGAAGAGCAGCTGCTCGGCGTCGTTGACGGGTGGGAGCGGGTCCTCGGACAGCTTGTCGCTCTCCTGAAAGAACGCCAGAAGATCCGTCTATGGCTACCCAACGGCTTGCGATATGCAGTCAACTGGATTCGTCGAAAAAATGCCGTGGCGCCTGTAATCGCGGCTGATAGCCGAGTCGTCGATCCCGACGTCGTAGAAACGCAGTCCAAGGCGGCACAGCACCATCTTCGCATCAGCAGAGGGTATCGCGTCAATAGAGGCAGCGCCTTTTCACGCGCCATCATCGGCACCTATCATTGGTTCATCAACCCGGATGGTCTTTATGCAATGCGCATGGTGGTTGTCACTATTGCACTCTCTATTCCTGCTGCGATTCCACACACTGCGGGTTTCTATTACCGCGTGAAGGGACTCTGGGCCCTCATCATGGGGCAGACCACACTGGTCATATACATGGCCGATTTCACTTTCTCCCTTCTTTGTCGCGCCATTGGTACCATTCTTGGCGGTCTCCTCGGCTTAGTCGCATGGTATATCGGCTCAGGTCACGGCGAAGGTAATCCATACGGTCTCGCTGCCATCATGGCCGTTGTGGTTGTGATTCTTATGTGGGGACGTATTTTCGCCCCCCCCTGCGATGCTTCAAGCCGCGATCATGGCTGGTGCAACCTGCATTCTGGTAATTGGTTACAGCTTCGAAGATACGTGAGTAACTTGTACCTTGTTGCGAGAAGTGACATGACTGACACATTTCCCAGGCACATTCCGACTTACGGCAATCCTGGTTGGGGATACAATGTTTTCTGGCGACGACTTGTCCTAGTCCTTATCGGCTCCGCAGCGGCACTGATCGTTCAGCTCTTCCCTCGCCCACCGTCTGCCTCGCGACACGTCTGCAAGTCCCTTTCAAATGTCATTCGCTCACTGTCGGACCACTACGCGCTCCTCTTATCCTGCTGGGGACAAGGACGCGAAGAAGGCCTAGCGGCAGAGAAGCTGGCTCTTAGCGTTGCCGAGAGTCTCACCGCACTGAGCGGGCCCATCGCGTTGCTGCGCTTTGAATTTTCCGGCTCGCCATTCGACAGCGACCGTCTCGGCCAGGTGCAATCACTATGCCAAGAACTCAACCAGAACATCGCTCGCCTACTTCACCTATCTGCCTCGCTGCCAGAACACCTGCAAAGCCGTCTCGCTCGTCATGCTGGTCTTCTTGACCATCACAATATCGGCGACGTCATGGCGGTTCTAGGCGTAGTGGAACAATCACTCAAGACGGGTGACCCTCTACCCGAGGTACTACCAACGCCACTACTCAACCGTTGCCACGATTTCTGGACGTCGCGCCATGTGGATATTATGCTAAGCAAGGATTTGATCCGCGATGAGAACTATCGTCGGTTCTGTGTCGCCGTTAGCGCATACCTCAAGTTCCTAGCCGCAGTGGATGACCTAGTACTGGTGATGAAGGGTACATTGGGCGAGTCGCACATTGTCAGTCGCGACCTCTTGCATGAGCAGTATGTATAAAAAGTCGTAAACATACTAAGAGTGGTCAAGAGTCATGTATATAATTGTGCATATAGCGATGTGTCATCAAAACTAGTTGGGTCTCACATTCCTCCGCACGGCTAATTTTTTTTCTCCAATTTTTCCCCCTCACCAATTCTAGTGCCTTTAAATGGCCTCCGATATTTCATTTTCTTTTCGATCTCCCATATAAACCGTTAATAATCCTAATCTTCAACCTACCTCTCTCTCATCCCATGACCTCTTCGCGACTCGCGCGTCTCCCAAGGTGGATCAGCCACTGGCTTGGCTATCGCCCAGAGGCTGTGAAGCCACTCTCCAAATATGAAGTCGCTCTATGGTCCTTTATAACCTCATTCTGTGGTCTATCGGTCGTGCAAGCAATTTTCAATTATTCCGACTACTTCATTAATCGCAATGTACCCGGTATAGTCGCATCCTATGTAAGTGGCCAACAGCAATGAAATGAACCGCATTCTCAAAAAAATCCACATTGACTCACACCAAATCAACAGGGTGCATCCGCGGTCCTCGTCTTCGGCGCAATCGAAAGTCCCCTCGCGCAACCACGCGCTCTAGTCTTCGGTCACTTCTTCAGCGCCTTAATTGGCCTCTGCGTTACCAAATTATTTAGCCTGATGCCCGACCAGGCGCGATTCGAGTCCCTGCGCTGGCTAGCCGCCTCCCTTTCCACCGCTATCGCTATCGTCGTGATGCAGTTTACGGGTACTACCCACCCACCTGCTGGTGCGACTGCTTTGCTCCCGGCTACTAGTCCCGAGATTTGGCGCCTTTCTTGGTACTACTTGCCGGTAGTTCTGCTGTCTTCGACTATGCTCTTGGTGTGTGCTCTTCTGTTCAATAATTTGCATCGTCGGTATCCTGCATTTTGGATTGCGCCTACTCCGCCAAAGCCTGTTGCACCTGCTCCGGTGCCGGTGAATACTTCATTGGAAGAGAAGAAGGTAGCGAATTGTCCTGTCTGAGTCAGAGACTTAGGGAAGTCCACGGGCAAGATGTCGCTCATTCAGCGAAAGAGGTTGCGATCGACTTTAAAATGGTCACACGGCATATGTCGCTATCCGTTCGATATGAGATGGCATCAAACCTTAAATGTATATAGAAACTATGTTACACTAATGTATTCGAGACTCCAGAGGAAAAGGAACTTATTATTACTCTCTGCGATCCAATATACCCATCGCCAGTCTTCACAATTATGATACATCACATCACTAATCCTCAAAACTGCACAATATCAGCGACCTGGCAATTTTCCAACTTCATGCCACTATAAGTGATCTTGGAGATATATGAAAGGTCAGCGTTGTAAAGGGTCGTAGGGTAACAGGGTGAAGCTCGCAGGGTTGGAAGACGAAATTGTAATCTTTCTAGTTCTACCAAGTTTCTCTGAACGCTAAGGAATAGTAGAATATCATATTTTACCTGCGTAGACAACACCTATTGAGTTTATCTTCATCCTACGAGCCTTACTCTGCAAACTTTACCCTGCGAGCTTGACCCTGTTGCCCTGAGACCCTATACAGCGTTGACTTTTTCTTCGTCGCCCCCAGTGATCACCAACAGTTAGAATAGTGGCAAATCCTGGTCTTAGGCTCTTCACTCCGTAGCTAACTTGCGACTCCCGGATTTGACTTTGTAGGTGAAGATTTGTCTTTCTTTCTACTATATTGGCAATCATGCAAAGTTTTTCTTTACCTTGTAGAATATATTTTCTCTTTTCTAGCCTTGTTCTCTTACTTGCTTATTTTCTACAATTTTGAGAGTTCAAGTTCTCAATTTCATTTGTCCTAATCACAATGTGTTCCATTTGTAGCAATTTGCCCTAAAAACTTCAAAACCTGCTCGCCAAACCCAATTTGAACTCCGAAAAAAACAAAATGATCGCAAAAGCAATTTGACCGAAAAAAAAACACCTCCACCAATTAAAGATCTCAAAAACATTGTCCTGTAACACAAGAAATCCCCCAGAAACAATTTGACCACGCAAGTTTGACCCAAAGAAGTATTCACCACGAAAGATTGTAAAACAAAGACAAAAAACCCGAAATCGCCATCTCTCAGAAACGCTCATTCCTCCTCGCTCGAGGTAGTCACATAAGAATCGATCTCTGGCTCAGGAAGCGGTGAAAGAGGGGGCGATGGGGTAGGATCCCTCGAGGTAATGTACAGATCCAGGCACTGTCTGCAGATACAATCATAGTCTTTGTAGTAGAAACGAGCCCAGTAGCTTCGAAGCATAGCCTGTCGTGGACAGTCCTCCCAAACAAGTTTCTTCTCCCATCGTCGCTGCTCCAATTCAATCATCTTGGCGTTGTGCACTGCCTTGCTGTCATCTTTGGAGAAACCATCAAGAGTCAAGCTTCCCACCTGCATAGCAGCCATGCCAAAAAGCTTCAGAGTCACTCGGTCCTCCATGTCTGAGTCATAATCCAAGATACTTGACAGCTCGTCAATCAGAATCCTCAGGTTACTACATCGCCCCTCAAAACACTTGCCCTCCTTCTTGGTTCCCTCTCGGATCAGTGTCCACATAGATAGGGTGTTGATCAATCTGTTCAGGTCGATGATGATCTGAGGAATTGTTCTGCCACCTTTATCTCTGCCAGAAAGGGCCTCGAGATCCTTGACGAAGGCGTCTCGGGTTGCTCGAAAGTTTCGAAGCGCGGCGGCTTGGACGTCGGGCTGCATCATGATGAAGGAGAGAACGGTTGTAGAGATTCTGGCGGTCGATAAAGTTAGCGGCTGGTGAAGATAAATATGGTAGTGATACGAGGAAGCTTACTGTTGAGGGTGAAGGTGGATCTTCGCGAGGAAGATGCTCGTAGACAATGCTCAATGATGAGAGGCTAGCTGCTGATGAGTTTAGCTTCTGATAAGGATGCTATGATGAAGATGATATGATGAAGCTTACTGATGGTTATCACGTCGAAGATACTCCTAGAGGATGCTCATAGAAGATCTCAAGTCATGAAGCTGATTGTGGATAAGGTTAGCTGCTGATGGAGATGATAGGATGGAGATGATATGATAAAGCTTACCTTTGATGGATTGACTTCGATGGAAGTGAATGAGTGAAAAATTATGGGTAGAGGGGTGATGAGGGAAGAGAAGGAAGGAGGAAGGAGGATCTTGAAGAAGAGGAAGTCTTTTATACTCGAGCAATTAGATCTATTGATCCCAAAGAAGATGTACAATTATCACATGCCTCTGTCTATCAGCGAGAAGCAACGGACTAAGAGATACAGTGAATCCATAGAAGCAATAGGCTTAAGGTGTAAAGCACTTCAGAGCATGAGTCCTTTATACGAAGCCGGACCTTCCATTCTTACCTCAACAAACACTCTGCAAAGGCTTAGGGCTCTAGGGTCATTGAAATTGTATAAGGAATTGTCATCTATGGCTAAACTGTTCTGATACACAACCCAACATGTAGCAATTGGGTAGCAATTGAGCTTGAGATTACTAACTATATATGAAAACTCTATCTAACTATAGATCTATATCTGTAGATATATCGGTTTATGAATAGGCAATGGGTAATTGTATGGAACATTGTAGTTAATGCCTAATCCGTCACATGGAAGTTGGGATAAATTGGGTCTAATATTGTAGATCCATATAGGTGATAAGCTGAATAGTAATAAAGAGCTTCACAATTCAGCGTCATAAACACCAAGTAGAGACCAAGTCTCCTCTATCGATACTATAAGCCGAATTTGCAATTGTAAGAACATCGTAGTCAATGCTTGATCTAGTATCACGCAGAAGTTAGAACGAATCGGTTCTGATAAGATATACTTAAATAGGTAATGCGCTAAAGGAATCAGGGACTTTGTAATTTACTTGCATAAACATTAGCCAGAGAATGATTGTCCTATATTAATCTATAAATAGAATTGACAATCGGTAGTAAGCCACTATCATTACTTATCATATAGAAGTTAGGATAAAATGTGGTTCAATACAATGAGTACATAGAAGCAATGAGCTAGAAAGATTAAGGGGTTTAGAGTAGAAGTCCTTTGTTAAAAGCTAGGCATTTCATTTTTACCTCCACAAATACTAGGTTGAGACTAGAAATCTTAATACCATCGAAACTATGAGAGTGATTGGCATCTATGGCAAAACTATCACCGATACGCAAACTAACGCACAAAACGGAATTGGGTTAGAGACCTCTAGGATTATATGAAAACCCATCTATCGAGATATATATATATCTGCAGATGAGTTCTACCCACAATCCCGAGGTCAGTAATAGTCAAAGTCACGAATATATCACGATATATAATGTTGAATGTGATATGTTGAGACTAAAGGAGAATTGAAGTTGTCCTTGTTCGTCCGAACTACACTCCCTATTACTATATGGCAATATGAACGTGTTTTATCGGTAAATGAATGATTGAACAGCTACGATAGAGCTTAAATCAGTGCTCACTGGTAGACCCTACACCTAGGTACTTGTGATATGTTTGGCGTGGCGCTTATCATCCGCACTAACGTGGAATGGGTAATGAGCTCGAGTCGGCAGATAGTACATCGGCGGACTCCGGCTCATTTTTGCTTTTGGCGTAAAATTTCTGAGACTGCGGTTTCGTTTTATCACTATGTCATTGCTTTATTTTTATTTACCCGCGCCTCTCTTTCAGTTTCACTGTATTGGTTCACAGAGTATCATTGGACTGTTTCACGTGTTGTAAAAAGGTCGAATCGATCAAGCGAAAGAAGGCTGTAGCTTCCCACAGGCTCGGTCTGCTAATCTTTCTTTGAGTAGTACCTCATATACATGCGATGCCCATGAACAGCAGACCTTCCTCGTATCCTTCGGGTCGATAATCTCCTCGATTCCGAAGGCATTCGCTGTACGCACCGGGTTCATCAGCCTTAGGTACTCCTCTTCCAATTCCTGATATCGTTCCTCTTTTTTTCCAATCTTCTCGGCCTCGCGCAACTCATGCCGATGTCCAACCTCAATTCCGCCATCCAAAGGTAGCGAACCCCATTGTCCAGACGGCCAAGCAACCTGCATAACCGGATCACGACAACCTAGCATAACACCACCCGCTACACCAAACACACGCCGCGTGACCACATTAAATACCGGTACGGTGGTGCTAAAGTAAGCTTTGGCGAGCTCGACACCCCAGCGCATTGTTGCCGTGCGCTCAGCCACAGTTCCAATGGCATACCCCGCTTCAAACAATATGTTAGCTCATTCCACGAATTTACCTTGGAAGCATATCACTTACGAACGTCCAAAAACTGCAAAATAGGCAGATTCATCACATCACACAACTTCAACAGCCGCGTCAGCTTCTGGCTGCCAGCTGCATCCAGTGCACCTCCATTCACTTCACAGTTCAGCGAGATAATTCCAACAGGACGGCCACCTAGACGTGCAAGTCCACCGATTGCAGTACGCCCCCATAATGCTCCAATCTCAAACCAGGAGTCTTTATCAACTACAGAGGTGATGATCGAACGGGCATTGTACATACGCGCTTGCCGTCGAGGGATGATACTCCGTAGTGCAACATCCTCACGTTCCTCCGGGTCAGTGCATGGAATTGTTGGCGGTGCATCACTCCCACTGTTGGGGAGATAACTCAGGACTAACCGCAGCTGCTCATAGCACTCTGCCTCATTCGCAGCGAGGTTATCAATGGTGCCGTTCATACAATGAACCATCGGCCCACCCAAGTCTTGGAAGTCGAGACCCTCTTCGAATGTTGCGCCCTCGACAACCTTTGGACCTGCATTGAATAGTGCTCCAATGTCGGCTGCCATCACAGAGAAGTGGCAGGATACTACTCGGGCGGCACCAAGTCCAATCTACAAGACCAGTCAGTACAGTGATATTAACTAATATCCGCTGAATCGTTAGGTGAGGCAGAGAGAAGAAGAAGATGGAAGGAGAATATCAGAGGAAAACTCACCGCAGGCCCAACAACAGCCCCCAAATTCGGAATCCCCATATTCAACTGCTTGATAACATGTGGGAAAGACAAAACATGAGGAAGATAACTCCACCCCTCTTTTCGAATAGTTGTAACGCTCCCACCCCCAGAACTTCCATCAACAAGCTTGACAACCGGCAAGCGCAGCGCAATAGCAAGCTTTTCTACATAAACCGTCTTGCCTACACTCGCGCCGTCGGCATGTCCAGACCGGATACTGAAATCGTCAGTTGTGAGGAGGATCTTCCTGCCGCGAAGTAATCCGGCGCCTTGAACGTTATTGCTGGGAACGAATGAGACGGGCTTCTCGCGCATCGGCGCGGTCTTTTGCCATGTCACCGTACCGGAGACGGACCCAATTTCTTGGAAGCTGTTTGGATCTAGGAGTTGCTCAATGCGCTCGCGCACCCATAGCTTTCCTGCTTGTTTTTGGCGTATGTATCCTCGGTTGTTGGGGTCTGGTTTTGCCGCTATTGCGCGGAGCGTTGCTAGTTGATCTAGTACATCTGAGTGGTCTGCTGGAAGGCGGCTTTCTGTGGATTTTGATCTCGACTTGGGCTTTCTTGGTTGGTCTTTTGGGGATATATGGGATGAGACCTGGTTCAAGCGGTCGGTGGCTTGGTTTTTGCCTGTTCTGGTTGATGGGCTGTCGTTGTCTTTGGTCATGATGTATCAATTGATAGCTGTGAGTTGATTTGTCTTGTGTATATTGTACTGTGTGTATAGAATTGGAGATTGGTTAAGGAGTTAGTCTACTGAGGGGCTGGTCAGACCTTCCGAGGGCCGAGGTCACCCATGTCGACAGCTATAATATCTCATTGAATAAAAGTATACTGTATGAAGATATCTGAGAATCTTCTTACTCATTTCTTTTTGAAAGATATTGCAATATATCTCGTGAACCTGGCTCGCTTGGGCTTTTGCACGCAACCACCCCAGAAGTCCCCCTTTCGCCCCCAATGTCATCCCCGCACTCACGGCCCATCAAGCGATTGTTGGTCGCCAACAGGTACGAACTTCGAGAAAGATCATAATAGGATGCTCTCAGATCTCTAATACTTGCTAGAGGAGAAATTGCCGTTCGTATCCTCCATGCAGCACGAGAATTACCTGAGCCAATCGAAACATTCAGTCTCTACACATCAGACGACCAATCACACTGCGATTTAGGGAGACCGCAGCATGCGATTGAAATTCCGTCAGCGTCATCATATCTCGACATTTCTCTTCTGATAGATATAGCCCAAAAACACTCTATACATGCCGTGCATCCTGGATATGGATTTCTCAGCGAGAGCGCCGAGTTTGCGTATCGCATGTGGCACGAAGCCGGGTCTCTTGTCATTGGACCTGGATGGGAAAATCTCGCCCGAACGGGTGATAAGCTCCAGGCAAAACAGCTAGCGCAACAATGCGGCGTCCCTGTATTAGAAGCCATGAGCCAACCTACCACCAACGTGAACGAAGCACGGGAGTTTGCGACGAAAGTTGGATTCCCAGTCATGATCAAGGCCGTTGATGGTGGGGGCGGTCGGGGGATTCGCCTCGTTCGTGAGGAGCATGGGCTGGATAATAGTATTCAGAGAGCGATCGGCGAGTCACCATCTCGGACTGTCTTTGTTGAGAAAGCTGCTGTGGACGGGTTTCATCATGTTGAAATTCAGATTGTTGGTGATGGGACGGGTCAGGTGCGGCATCTATGGGAAAGAGACTGCAGTGCTCAGCGGCGGTTTCAGAAGGTGGTCGAATGCGCCCCGGCTTTGATGCGGGATAGAGCTTTGGTTGGGCAAGTGATCGAGTCGGCGCTCACGATGGCAAGTAAAATCTGTTATCAATCATTGGGGACATTTGAGTTTCTGGTCAGTGAACAGCGTGGAGAATTTTACTTCTTGGAGGTGAACCCGCGTCTGCAAGTCGAGCATACTATTACCGAATCTATCAGTGGGGTAGACCTTGTGCAGACACAGCTTCTTCTCGCCCAGGGCTACAAGTTGCATGAGCTGGGGCTCGGGGCTGAGGTCATTCCAAGTCATCCTCCGCCAAATGCCTTTGCAATCCAACTCAGGCTGTGTGCTGAAGACCCAGGCAACGAGTTTTCCCTTAGCATTGGCAAAATCACTGGGTTTACCGTACCTAGTGGCCATGGAATCCGGGTGGATACCCATGTCAGTGTTTCCGGCCCTCCACTGGTTGTGGGTTCCAACTTCGACAATCTGTTGGCCAAGATAATCGTGACTGCACCCACGTGGGAAGCATCCGTTAGAAAAGCCCAGCGGGTTTTAGCTGATTCTAGGGTTGACGGTGTGAAAACTAATATTAGCCTTCTACGAGGGATCGTGGCTCATTCTGATTTCATGGCTGGCAAAGTCGACACACAATGGCTTGGGTTCAACCTCGACACAGTACTCCAGCAAGGGGAGAACATATCAAAGAGTATTCAGAGGCTAGATAGCCCAGCCGCCCCTTCACAGCAAGCAATCACCCAAAGTGGACTACCAGCACCTAATCTCTTATTTCGAAAAGGAGATGCATGGTCAATCACGTTGGAACCTCTGTCGAAGGATGCCCAACCATCGGACAAAGTCTTCCACCATCTGCGTATGTCCCGGATGCTACGCAATGACTTCCCAACTTCACTCACTGCCGAAATTGAATATACGACTCCAACCTCGCAGGGCGCAATCCCCTATCGAATGCAACTCGAAACAACTACGACTGCTGCATCAGCATTAGTATCCTCGTCGCATCGACGAGGTGATCCAAAGAACCCTCATCACATAATCCTCCCTCTCTCAGGCAAATTGATTGAGATACTGGTCTTGGATGGAGAGGATGTTGTTGAAAATCAGGTCCTGGCTTTCGTCAAGCAGATGAAGATGGAGCTCGAAGTACGAAGCCCTCGAAGTGGTCGGGTCAAATGGGTTTATGAAATGGAAGACGAAGAGGAGGATGTCGCTGAGGGTATGCTTTTGGTTGAGTTGGAGCCGGACAATGGCAAAGTGGAAGTCCGGGGCAAGTTGTAGACCAAAGAGCTCAGAGGATAGGGCGAATGGCATTGAGATCCCTTCATAAATGCAATTCTGGAGTCCCAGATATCACCAGCAAATCAGCTTGCAGATCCACCTGGTTTTCAGCATCATTGGTCTAGTGGTAGAATTCGTCGTTGCCATCGACGAGGCCCGTGTTCGATTCACGGATGATGCACAACAATTTCTTTTTTTGTCCTCTCTTCCTGAAAGGAACATCTAATTTGTCGAATTCAAACATCAACAGGAGTTTTTTTGGTCTGTACAAGAGGGTCTTGCTTCAGATCAAGAGCCAAATTCGAGTTTGCGTGTGTTTTTATTTACTTTTTGCAATCCAAGGCAGGCGGTCATGGAGGTGACCGCCTTTTCATGTGACGTCACTGCTTCAGTTTCCCCATCTACTCTTTCATCTATCCACACTCTGTGGCCTGACGCAGAGTTCATTTTTCAGTATGGATGCCCTTGGTGTCTACGTGCTGACATACAACTGTGCACGGAACTTCGTCGATGTCGATGCGTTCGCGAATCACTTCTTCGACGCACTCCCCGCGTCTGGTGCGGGGAGCTCCGCACCCGACCTAATTTTCCTCTCGCTACAAGAGATCGCACCCATCGCCTACTCGTTCCTCGGCGGATCCTACCTTTCACCCTACTTCAATGCATTCCGCCGTGCCGTTCAGAAAGCTTCGGCACAAAAATGGAACCACCACTATGTGGACTTCCTCACCGACAATACGGGAATGACGGGTCTGATGCTTTTTGCGCGCAATGAGACGCTGGGGAAAATCGCATGGATTGACACAGCCCATGTCGGGGTTGGGGTTCAGGAAATGGGAAATAAAGGCGCTATCGGGGCACGTCTGGGATACGTTGTCGAAGGACACCCATCCAAGACCATGGACCTCACTTTCGTTGCGGCCCATCTCGCTCCCATGGAGGATTCTTATGAGCGAAGGAACAAGGACTGGAAGAGCATCGTTGAGCGTCTTGTATTCACGCACAACAACAAAAGACCAGCAGAAAGATCAAGCGTGGACGAAAACACCAGCCTTCTCGACAACGCTGCATCGGCGCACGCAGAGGGCAGTCGCCGAGATCTCTTCGCCCCAAGCGCATACATATTTCTTGCTGGAGACCTGAACTACCGCACGTCGAATATCGGGCCCTCCATTGGCGAGATTGAACAATTCCCCCGGCGCAATGTCGACCTCGATCACCCATCGCACTATTCCCACCTTCTGAAGAACGACCAGCTCGTGCGCGAGATGAGCTATGGCCGGACCTTCCACGGCCTGTCCGAGGCACCGATCGATTTCCCTCCCACGTACAAATACTCGTATGCCGCTCGCGAAGCTGTCCGCCAGGGCTTGGACACGGATGATCATGAATGGAAATGGTCGAATCACCGCTGGCCCAGCTGGTGCGATCGAGTCCTTTACCTCGATAAGCCTTCGTGGGTTGGGGACGCTGGAAAGGTCAAACCACTCGCTTACAATGCACTGCCTCTTTTCGCGCAGTCTGATCATCGTCCCGTTGCGCTCGTTGCATCGGTACCTCTGTTGTCCTCTGACGCACCTACAAACACTCAGAACACAAGACCAGGTGTCCGAGCTGTGGCTCCATTCTCTATCGATCCGAGTTGGAAATCCAAGCGAGACGCGGCGCGACGAAAGGAGTTCGTAGTGGGTGTAGTTGCATATCTGGGACTGACCAGGGAAGGAAACGGGCTGCTGCTCGCGTCCCTGCTAGGTATCTTCGGAGCATGTTTCATTCTTCGATCTATGCTGGAGATTTGAATGGCGGTGTGGTGAACGGCGCATCTCGGAGGTCATTTTTTCTTTCTTTTTTATTTCATCATCTCTGTTCTGTTGTCTCTTAGGTGTTTTCGGAAGAATATTATGCAATGCTGTCAGTCGCCAGAATCGGGCACTGAAAAGATGCAAAAGCTCAGCTGTTTCCTTTTTGCTCTGCATAGTCTCCAAGCTTTCGAGTTCGGTAATCCGGTTGCATCGTCCCCGGCCTCGATTGAATGTCCTGTGACGCTGGGGGAGAATCCCCGCATTTCTTGCAATGGGTCGGGTCCATCAGATAAGTCGCCCGGTTGTAGTCCCAATCATGTACAGTCAGGCAATATGGATGATTTTCCTAGCAACAACCTAGATTAGGTAGTACTCTTTCCGAATCAAGTCACATGAACCGAGATCCGCGGTCCAGATGCATTCTGCAGGTGAGAAAGGTGACGGCCTTGAATTTCTTGGATGAGGTCATATTTGGCTCTAGCTTTTGCTCCGATTATCGCTCATTTCAGAGGTTCCCATGACTATGATGACTGGGCTGAGACTGTAGGCTGCAGGGGGACTCAGCTCTCTCGGATATGGATATGTCTGTCATCTGTCACTGCGGTAGTAAGCTCTTCACGGTAGGCAATTTTTGGTTACACAGAATTTTTCTATTTCTTCTGGCTGAGGTCCAGATGTTGAGATAAAGATGAGTCTTCCAGACGCAATATTTCTGTTCAGCTGTGGGCCACTATTCTTTCACGGACCGGAACACCCGGCTGCAATGCAAATACAAAGGTCAATGTGTTCCTACCAAATCATAGCCCTGAACATGGTCAATGAGTATGTTGTCACACCAGCCATAAACGTGCGATTAGCTACAACTGGCCACATGAACTGGTCAAGTGACCAGCAAAGAGCTTAATCTCCTGATTCACCAGAATTGACAAAAGAACAGGGCCACGTCTAGCCTCGCGTGTACCACCTTGAAGCCAAGGGGAAATATGAAGAGGTTTTCTGAGAGGCGGTGTATGATCTAAACGTGTTGCTATCGAGATCCAGCCAGACTTCTTGAATGCATACTGGATCTGACAGTAAGCCCTGCAATTGAAGGATTTGTAATATATATTTGACTTTGAAATGTTTCTGGCTTGACTGGAAAAATAAATCAAATCATAAATAAAAAAAAAGGTCCGGGGTCCACAGCCTCCACAGGGATGAAAGGGAGAAACTACAAAATGTAAGGCCAAGTCAAAAGGCTGTTGAATTGGATTGTTTTTTAGTGAAGTGTGAAGGAAAGTATTAGATTGTTATTGGTTTGTACTGAATAGATGAGATAACGATCACCTAATAGAGGGATGATAGAGGGATGGAAGAATAGGGGGTATAATAATCAAAAAAGCAAAAAATATGTCATTGACAGGGCTGATCAGGAGAAAGTGGACAGCACAGAAGGATCGGAATATTCCATGCAAACTTACAAACAGGCCTGAAAGGGAAAATCGAGGAAATCCCCTGAGTTCGGTGGAGATTTTTCCAGAAAACCAGAACTACGGAGTACTCCATATGGAGGCCCAAGACCCAGAATTGACAATCGAGGGGTGTCTTCAATTTGAAACCCCAATACTCCGTAAAAATCAAAATGGGAAAAAAAGGGAAAAAGAAGGGGAAAAAAAAGGAAAAAAGGGTACCAGGTCCACAATATAGAGACAAATCTATACCAATCTATATCTATGTTGTATGGACTTTCATGTTCGCGGAAATACGGGATACTCAATCTGAAGCTTAACGGTTGGTTTTGTAGGCTGCTGTTTCGAAATCTGCACTTGCCAACTGATCCACCTGTCCCTGCAATATACATAGACTGCGAGTCGTTCCATTCTGAGAATGCATTCTACCGTTTTTTTTCTCTTTCGATGTATAGCCGATCCTTAGCTTCCACCGAAGACCAGCATTTGAGCCGATCAACCCGCATCTTCGGGTCAAGGGATCATGATCGACCGATCTCTGTAGTAGAATCAAATACAAAAGTGATGTAGTTATCTAATTGTAAAAATTTGGTATCCAATGTTGAAAAAGCCGGCAAGCACCAAGTATATCCCTGGACTGAATGCTACCCAAAGTCTCCTGTCCCAGGGAAAAAAAGGAAAAAAGGATGATTCAGATTCAAGTTAGAGAAAGATTAAAGAAAATAAAAAGATCGAAAATAGTAAATAATATCCCAAAAAAATAATATAAAACGAAATAAAATATGAAATATAAGACATAAAGAGCGAAAAAAAAAGAAAAAAAAAAAAAAAAGAAACCAACCCCAGCAAACGGCCGTAATAAATGGAACCCTAAAAATTCTAATACTCCCTATTTTCACTGGGAATTTGGAGTTTGAAATGTCTAAGCCATCTTTTTAAGCCTCTATTATAAACCCCGTCCATCTTCTCCTTGGAACTTTTTCTTCAAATTTCTCTGACCTTTGTGGCTGATTTTCTACCTTGAACCTCCGACGTCATTGTGTTGTACACATTCTAGGCCTTGACCCTTATTCTCCGTTACATTTAAAGCTTGAAAAGTCTAGTCTACTTTTTTTTCTCCTTTCTTCAACGCTTCAACTCTCCCTCTCTTGATCTAAACCGATCTATCATGTATTCCTGCGCAAATTATCCTCGTGGATGCCGAGGCCGTGTGAACAGGCAAGGAGCAAAATGCTCCGACTGCGTTGTATGTGATTCCTAATATATCTTTGAGCATGGGTCAAAGAAAAAAGAAAGAAGTAAGAACTAATTCCCTTGACAGTCTCTAAATCTGCGTCGTCCAGCTTTCGCTTCGCCATTCGCCCAACCACGCGACTACAAGCGAGTGCTTCCCTCAGAGCTCTTTGGTGATATCTCATCCAAAGCGCCGGAGCCTGAGCTGTAATGAACGCAAAGCACACCTTCCGGGACGGTCCGGTGAATAACCCAGCTCCTCGCTAGGTTGCATCCTACCGGCTAGGATACACCTCGCATGATCTACGGCTTCCTTTGTTCTTAATCGCCTCTTTATCTCTATCTCTCTTTCTCTCTCTCATCTGCATCACCGGGAGTTTCTTTGTTATATCCGGCGGCCGGTTGCTTTTCGCTTTGCCAGGTTTCCTGGTTTCCCCATCTTACCTCACCTCTTTGATCTCGTCCCTCTCCACATTGGCCGGGCTAATGAGCGAGCTGCTACAAGTCTTCTTTTGAGAACTGAGAAACTTGGCATGGACTTCGCGAACATTTCCTTTTTCACTCGCTTGGGTTTGTTTCTATACAGAACGGCCCCGCTTCTTTGTTTTGCATGGATAGATCGCTTTTTTTGCATGGATACCGGACATGGATCTGCCACTGGAGGGCAGTGGCGCTGATGGATTGGGTTCTTTCAACTCTGGTTGATCGTTGATCGACCCGTTCTTTTCCTTGCGCATACGTGTGCTTTGATATTCCTGGTTTTGTTTTGGTGCTGGTTTTTATGCCCTATTTTTATGTTCTTTAACTGATGTCGACTCTTTTTCTTTGTGAACGGTGATGCCATACCCCTCTGTTTCACTTGCGCTTTCTATCATATGACCATTCCCTTGGTGCTATATACTTATTTACAGCATTCATACCGTTATGCTTGACTATCTGTTGTCCCTTCTTGATTCCTCAATAATCTGTAAAATTAAATTCAGAATACTCAGCCCTGCAAGATATCTATTCTCCACCCCGACACCTGATTTAGACATATCTTACTACCCAACCCTTGCAGCAACGCATTTGGGTCTAAATGACTAGACCTCAGCCCCGATGTTGGGGCTGAGAAGTTTCGGCCCCAAAAACCCCCTCCCTAACCCGTCGTGGGGACCCGGCACCCGGCTAATCCTCTTCTTTAACAATTTTCAGCCGCAACATTCTGCTCACATCGAAACGGACATCTAAGCCCCAAAGGACCCAAAAGAAAGAAATGGAGAAATACCCCAAGTTTAAAAATATGCTCGTGCACACACACCCCGCCAACTCACATCTCTGAACACGACAACACACCCTTCATCCTTCACAGCCCTCAGCCCACCCATTTCCTCTGTGTCGCATCACCCACCCCCCGATTCCCTGCGCCATGCCGAGACAACCTTGTAGCTACATCCCCGTCGGGATCTAGGCCCCGTTGGCCCTAATCTATAGATCTGCGCCTTGCGGTATATGCGCGGGTGGCATGCTCTACTACTGGTAAGTGGCCGAGGCTATGTTGCACACGGGTTAGGCAGTGGCATTTGTGCGAGGCTTAGTACGACCTGCGCCGTCGATCGTTTATCGGCTTTTGTTGACAGCTCACGCTATGCAGGGGTGATCCCTGTCTTTGTGGGTGCACACACATGAAATGCACAAGCTCTTGCGGGTGGTATTTGTTTCGACGCCATTGCGGACCTGATATGATTTTACTTCCCGGAGCATTTGATGTAATTAATTTTTTTTTTCCGCAGTTTGTGAAAGTCATGTGGTCACCACATGTGTTTTGGGGGATCTAGACTGAGTGGCCGGGCCTGGCCTTTTCGGAGAATTAACGGTTCCGAGGGATTGGGCTTTTTTTGGTCTACTCAGAGTAATATACTACGATGTACGAGACCTTTTTTTTACTGGGAACGTGAATAGGGTATGTCATACGGAGTACATTGCGGACTACTATCCGAAGAACAGGGGGAAAGGGGGATAGGAGAATACCGAGAAAGAACTATGTCGATCGCTTGTCTCAGAGATAGATAGTTCCCACTCCGCGTGTTTTGTTCACATCTGAAACTGTTGTCTATATTATCTATATTATTGTAATCTAGACATCCTTGGAGCTAACTCAACACTAAAATGAACTAGGAACTAGGTATCTGGGGGGGGACCAAAAAAAAAAGTACACAAAAGCACAGAAATAACGACTAAAAAAAGATTGAGGGAAAAAAAAGAGAAAAAAAGAAAAACAAACCCACATTCCATAGTCGTCGGATCATGTAAAACAAAGCCCAGTAGACTAAGCTAACGAAGGAGCCTAGCGTTGAATTCGCTTCTAGCCGCTTCTACTGGACTTCTATGCGTTTTCTCTTTTTGTTTACATTTCAAGCCCCTTTTTTCTTCTGTTTTTCTCGGTATTGGGTAATTTTCAACGCTCAGCTACATACATGTACTATAGCGGATCGTTGTTTCAGGAACTGTGGGGAATTTGGCATGTTCCATCTCCACGGGATGCCTGCTTTTGAGAACGATGCCCTAGCTTTGAAAAAAAAAATTCGGATCTGTTCAGTGATCGCTGTGGGAAGGGTAATCGGTGTGGCGTTACTCCGTACATTTATTGACATTTGCGTAAAACTTCGATGCGTCATTCAATGTATCAGGTAGCATTCGTTGATATTGTCAGGTCTTGCTGATTATCTCGTTAGGCACTATGCTTACAGGTCCGATATAACGATATTGGGCTCACATCCTTGAACCTCGTCGAGCTCTCATAGTGTGAAAATTCTAAAAGATTGCTTTTTTAATTACCGAGATTAAATCTATATTAACTTGTCTCGCCAATGTCCCGACACAATGGCGGCATGTTATGCAGTAGCTAGCTCAAGGGGCCAATACTAAGAAGATCAGAAAATAGATTGGATTTGACAAGAAAAGACAGGGGATCACATGAATTTCAAATCAAAGACTCGTCAGTTCTGTTTATATCCAACAGTCAAGCCAAAGTGGATCTCGTGCGTTGTTGCATGTACGTAGCCCGAACACGAACACTCGATATCCACCACGCCCCATAAGCGTCCAAAGACCGCCTTTTGAACCTCTAATCTGATACAAATGTATCAAACGGTCAAATAGACCGTAGTGAAGATATATCCGATCGGATCTACAATATAGATTTCTCGGCTATACTTACCAACTGGTGATTAGTTCCGGTCTGGAACGCGCCGTCGGGTAGGGGTAGTAGTAAGCGCCGAACGGGCTGGTAAGTTGACCGGCAAGTTTGGCCCCCTGGTTGAAGAGCCGCTTTGAGGCGTAGATCCTCTAATCTCGGGTTCTAACGTGGCTAGACGCGTTACGTGGACACCGACACTTAGCGGACCAATTTTGCCATGAGTAGATTTGTTTTTTTCTTTGCTGACAGCGTGAAAAGTACGGAGTACTCCGTACCGTTGAGGTTTGATTGGATATCTGATATCTTATATCTTAGATTCTATTGATGGATCATTGTTCAGACCTCGAGAGGTTGTGAAGGCTCAAATTTCAACTCGTGCGTTCAATACGGCATCGTATATATCTCTCCAAGTGCAACTATCTAGACATTCAACATCTTCCGGCACACCCATTGCGCGGTCTTTGTGTGGAGTGTCCAATCTCGCTCGTCTTCCAGAGGTTCGGTGTCGGCTGCTTCGGTGTCATGCACACCTGCGTGACAGGCCTTTCCAAGTGCCTCGAAAACAACAATCTGATCCCTCATATTTGGATCTAGACAAGATCTCTTGGCGGTGGAAGGATTTTTCTGGTTTGGATGGGCATTTGATCTCTCATTTGGGATTTCTTCTTTTGAGATCTCTCCTATGAATCCTTGCACACATCGACGGACTAGATCCGCAGCCGCAGAAAATTCTATCTGATCTTGAGAATCTCCCCGAGGGTCATGGGCTGGCTGTTGTTTTTGTTTCCCCTTGCCCTTTGGCCTAGGCAGGCGATCGCCTCCCACGCCACCTAGAATCTCATGACCTATTCGGAAACCAGAGGAAGTATGGGCCACAAGAAGGATGTATACGTGGCTCCGGTGATTTGTAGCTTCCGATGTGTGAATTTTAATAGGTACTGGTGTACTTTTGGCCGATGATTTACTAAGAGCGTCTTCTTCAAATGGAAGAGACAAAGTAGAGAGTTCGGCAAATATAGACGGATCCAGCTTTCTGATCTCACGGCGGAGAGTGTGTTCAGTGATTTGTTCCATAAACTGACGAACAGTGCTCCCCGTACTCCCTTCCGCGTCGCCATTTATGGTGGGCTGGTCAGGTGCCAGTATTGTGATATCAATTTGCGTGACTTTCCCACGCTCGTGATCCATTAAATCAATCCGTGGGAAGCTGCATAGAGGCTCAGCGGTCCGATGCCGATCTTTCTCCGATGACCCTGTGGGTTGATTTTTGCCCTCTGGCTTATGTTCAGATGCGAGTGTATGTATGAGGAAAGTGACTGATCCAAGGTCAACTGGCCCCGCTGACCAGCCACGCTTATGGAGGATAATAGACAAAGAAGGAAGTCCAAGTTTAGCGAAATTGGGAATGAGAACTTGTGCTGCATAGTCATATGATGGAGACCAAGCAGCATTAGTTCCACCAGTGATGTTGACTTTGACAAAAGGAGCAGACGCCTGCGATCCAACATAAAGCAGATATGGATAGAGAGCCTGGAAGACAAGTAAGATGGCACCGGCGGTCGTGAGCTTGATATCGTACTCAGACTTTACCGTCACTTGAGATAAATCCAGGAGCGGTCCGAGTTTTGATCTGGCTGATTGAGGAAAGAAGTTCAAGAACTGGGAGCCAACTTCGCCTCCTGATATTTTGCTGCCGCTAATCTCGGCCAACATCTTTACTGCTGCAACATGAGATCTCTTAAGCCCCTTTTTTCCCCCTCGATTTGCACGAACATGATCAATGCTAACTGGGCGACCAGTCAATGCAGACAGCCCGATGGCAATTCGAACCAGTTGCCCACCTCCTTCCAGGGTTCGGCCGTTGAGATAGACATGGCTGGATGGAGCAGATCGTGAGGCCGCCATTTCAGGTAACCTGAATTGTCTTTGATGAGATCTCACAGACCATCGAGAGGTGCGAACTATTAATACGTTCATCTCGACCAGTCTCATCTTTAGATCCTGAGTCAGACTAAGGGGTGAGTCACCATTTTTAGCGTCTTGGAAGGCTAGATCTCAGGTACGGGCGACTAAGTATGCCACCTGGGGCATAACCCTCCCATTGGATATTGCCCGGTCGTCCTTATTACCATCTCTCGAAATCCATATGCCAATTTCAATTGTAGATTCAATATCAATTTCAAGTTCGATTTGATTTCTATACCTATATACTTCATAATACGACGAGTATCTATTTATCTCTAGTATTGAAAACGGTAAATACTTCGATTCGATATTCTTGATTTCTGATATACCTGAATTCGAGAAGTATATAGTTAGTTTTGGTAAAATAAGTATGGATCTAAATTACTACTAGGTAACATTCATTAATAAGTGAGTTATGCCTCCGCAGACCTATTAGTCGCCTATACTTATAAGCCCTCTCTGTCCCATCATAATTTAGGTGTTTTGACTTATACTATCTTTAATAACGCAGAGGCCCGGTATGTTCAAATACAAAAGAACAAAATCAGATATTGAACCTTCGGATTACTGAAAAACTGCCAGGCAATATTATCATGGGAGGCTTATGCCCCGGGTGGCATAGTCGCCCGTACTCAGGGCTCTCGGCGCTTAAATCAAGGCCCTAACATTTTGGAGAGAAAATCGAGGAGGGTGAAGTGGAAGGGGGGTTGCCTTCCTTCCAGGGCACCTTCCGTTGATGTGCTTCCTTTCAGGAGTACCTCTTCAATCTTCCCTCTTCAAATCTCTTCTCTGGTTTCTTCTTCTCAATAATTCTGTAGTCATATACTCTGCAGATATTTTGTAACATGTTTTCCTCTACATACAATACACGCAGCCTAAGAAGGTCCATGTCCACCCGCTCAATACGAAAGCCACGACGACCAGCCCCGGAGGTCCCCGATGCAGCTGCAGCTGCTGCAGCTTCCCGGGCCATGCTCTCAAGTCAAAACTCGTCACAGGAGTCGAAAACCCCGTACGAACGACTAGGTGGTCCAGGAAATGTTGCCATCCCTCGCAGACGTCCCAGGTCGAGCCTTCAGAGCACTGGTGACAGCACGTCAGTCAGCCAGGGCGACTTGCCTAAAATTTCAGATACTCATCGGTCCAAAGAGGTGACCAGCGTATCAGCTCGACCTCATCGCTTCGATGACCCTGCCGCTCTTCCTCCAATCACAGAACTCAACGGGCTTGATGGGCGAGACAGCTCAGTGCCCTCTTCATATCGTCGATTGCGCAAGGCTAAGTCAATGTTCTCGACTAGACAACGAGCTTCACAGACCCCATATGGAGTGCCGACCATGCCTTGTGGTGATCCCCTTGATCCCGAGCGCAGTCCTGGATTTCAGATGCCACGAACAATGAGACGATCCATGTCTTTTCTTCGAGGAAATCATCAATCGCAGCAAGTCCGTCCGACTGCTCAGGGTTGCGATGCGGCTATCCAGCTTGCTCGTAGCCAGTTTACCCAGGATTCCAACAGTAGAATAGTTCAGCCTCGACGGTCATCTTTCTTTCTCGGACACAAGAAGGAGCACAGGCCATTTCGCAGATCTTTCCGGGCGACGAGTGAAGGTCGCCTCGGTGTCTCTACTGAACTGTGTGATAAATCTCGATCTTTTTCAAGTTCGATCAAAAACAAATTTAGACGTGTGTTTGGCTTTTCCAGGGTTGCGAATCAACAACCTGCACCACATGCTAATCAAAATGGCGCTTGGGCGTCTGGGGCAAGTCCGATTGGGAAAGGCCCTGAAGGATTCTCTCCTCCCAAATTTACAGCCATTGGAAACGGTATTGAATCCAACTATTTCCAGTCAATGCCCCAGTCTCCCGGCCGTGATAGTATCTGCAGTTCCAAATCGCGCGTCACCAGTTGGGCTGATTCAACCATGCCAAACACAGTCACAACCAGGAAGCCAGGACATCGCCAATCTCTTTCCTTGATCAGAGAGGATGGGGATTTGAATCACCAACTACCAAGGACGCCCACAATTAATGATGCCGAAAGTCAATCTCCTTTGGGTGTGAGAGCAGGTACTCATCAAATTAACATTGTTGACAGTCAAGATTTGTACACAGCTCTGTTGAAGCAGATGGGCCGAAATTCCCTATCCGATCCCAACGAGGAGCTGGTGTTCGGCAATTTGTCGCAACATCGTGCGATTCCGGAACGGACAAACTCGGTCTACTCCCAACATGGCAAACAGACTATCCGCCATGTCCCAAGCCGAGAATCCTCAGTCTCGCCCGGCTCATTCGCAACGGCGCGTGGTGGTGATCAATCAAGTCCACGAAAGTATCCGCGCTCAGTTAGGTCGATACAAGTTTCTCAAGGCATGCCGCCTCAGGCGACAGATCAACATACGACTACTGTTTCAGAAAAAGATCGTGGCAATTAGCGTGCGGTGTGGGCGAGGAATCGGATGAGGATAGTGGCAGTGTTATCGTTTCTCGCCTTCGGGCCTCGAAAAGGGACATTGTTTCCCCAAGTGTATATTCCCGGACCACAAGTGGCAATACCCCAACGAAAACTGACAACGCCGACGTGGCCGTTCATGATGAACCAGGAACAGCGACTATATTTACTCCACAGCGGACGACATACATCTCCCCCAAGCGTCCCAATCGGGCTTCATCTCCCACACCTCGTGCAAATCCCAGTGCAGATTGGCAGCAATGGATGAGCTCGCAGATTGAACGAATTGAACAGGCAAGTCCCACAAGGGAACACATTAGAGAAGATGCACAATACCAGGATGATGATGAGTACTTGACCAGTATGGCTCGACGGGCTCCTATTGCCATCTCCGCTCCCGTTTCGGCGACTCTGCTAGGGGTTTCAGGGAGCCAAAGTCTCACCAAGCGCAAAGCTTCGGTTGAGGACAGAGTCCCGTCACAGAGCAATTTCTCCCGTCCTTTAGTCCAGGCTTCCGACTTGCGAACCATCTTGCCATTACAGACAACTGACTTAAAGAATATGGCGCAAAGTCACACTGACTCATTGGCCATGGATACCGCTGCTAAGTCCGATGAAAACATTTCCTCACCCAAGCCTACCCCCATTGCTTGCAGTCAAGAACCGTCGCCAATCCGATTGAGATCCGGAAACATGCAGCCACCAGAGTCCCCAACCCCCAAGAGAGTGGGAGCAAATCGGTCTTGGACCAGAGAGCAGCAGCGACGCTATTCAGCCAGACGTGCTCCAATTGCCCAAGATAGTAGGATCAATCATTTCCGGTCCATGCGTACGCAACGAGGAACCCGTGCGAACAATGAGAACGCGAGGGAGCAGGATGAGTACAATGACATCATGGAAAGCTACAGCCAACTTCATGACATCCATTCCACAATCTCTAGCAAGCGCATGGTTGATTTGTTCCTGGATAGTCGCCGTCGACATATGGGTGAAGTCACTAACAACGATGCAAACGCAGACGCCTTTATTTGAATGTGGAAGACTGATCCTTTTTGCCATTGGAATGAATGCCTCGGGGATGTTTCTTTTTTTTTTTTGCTGTGTACCCTGCCTGATCATTGATCCACTCTTTCACTCATCCGCCACTTTTAGGACATGTATTGTGTAAAGCTCCGAGTAGGAGTTGAGCAGTTTGTTTACTTGATATGGAAGCCATGAAAACAGCTATTGTTAGTTTCTTTTAAAATCTCCACCTAATGCTAAAAAGAATCATGCCATTCGGTCATTCAATACTCTCCCAGTTTGGTAAGGAAAAAAAAAAACTGGGCAAAAAAGAAATCTCTCCCTCGGGGAATCGAACCCCGGTCTCCCGCGCTTATCGGTGTTAATGACAAGCGGAAATCATCACCACTAGACCAAGGAAGATGGTGATCGAGTTAACTCGACCATTGGCTGGTTGATGGAAATATATGCTGTTATTGATCTTATAAAGATCATTTCAGAATAGCTCACGATACACAATCCCTGTAAAGCTCCAACAACTGATTCATGCAATTATCGAAAGTCAGTATTTGTTTTGCTTACATATTATATAGAGAAAACTATCAAATTTCGACAAGTGAAGTGAAAAATGGGGTAAATCAAAAAGCTGAAAGTTCGATATATATCTCTTGAGAGTGTGTGCGGAACAGTCGTAGGGAGACTAGTAAACTGCGTTCGTCTTTGGAATAGATTGTTCAGTCACTGATTGATATCCACGCGTGGCGCTGAATGGATCACTGCGTGTAAGTGCTCCCTGTTAAGTTGGTCAGTGGGTGCACAGACATAGATAGGTAGGTATCTCCCGTGTAGGTATTCACCATGTGGGTATTCGCCGTGTGGGCATTTGCCATGTAGGTATATCCCATGTAGGTATTTTCCACATATAAGAAAGAGAAATGTCCTATTCTTGCGTAAGTCGAGGGATATAACGCATTCTTTCAACAATGGATATTTTTCTGGATATTTTGGATACATTGATCCTCGATCGGTGCTATGCATTACTCTCGCCGGACCCAGCAGAAAATTCCAAGAATAATTCCCTAGCCACTATTAACCTGAACCGACATGTCAGGCTTTATTACCCCATGGAGCCCTCGAGATGGGCGGAAGCAAGCCGTTGGAAGAGAGATGACATTGCCAGGCAAGCATTGTCACTATACTTGATTACATGGTAAACCTTCCATCTGAAGTACAGTAGTTCATCAACTGACATCTGCAACAGGCTTTTTGCAATGATAATGTACCTCCTTGGTAGCCTGTTATTATACCACACACTATTTGACAAGAGACTACTCCAACACCCGCGATTCCTCCCAAATCAAATCAAACTCGAGATCAACCAAGGCATCTCTGCAATTCCTTGGATGACACTCCTCACCGTCCCATTCTTCCTAGCAGAGATCCGGGGATGGTCGAAGCTGTATGATTTCACAAGTGACTCTCCGTTCTTCGGATACACCCTACTACAATATCCATTGTTTATCTGCTTCACAGACAGTGGGATTTACTGGATCCACCGTGCCCTGCATCATCCTCAAATTTACCGCTGGCTTCACAAGCCACACCATAAATGGGCTGTGCCGACACCGTTCGCCAGCTATGCGTTCCATCCCTTGGATGGATGGTCGCAGAGTCTGCCTTACCATATCTACCCGTTGCTTTTTCCGTTGCAGAAAGGCGCATATCTGGGGTTATTTATCTTTGTCACTCTGTGGACAGTTTTGATTCGTGAGTTTTCTCATCCCCCCCGAAGCAATAGCATGACGATTTATATTGATTCCCACAGATGACGCTGAATACTTGCCAGCATCAGAGGTCATTAACGGCGCCTCTTGTCACACGATGCATCACTTGCACTTCAACTACAACTACGGTCAGTTTACAACGGCATGGGATCGCCTCGCAGGAACATACCGAAGACCCAAGGGTGATAGCTTTATGGAAAGCCAGCGAATGGACGCGAAAGGGAAAGCTGGAGATAAGTGTGATTGAGATGGAGATCCAGGGAGAGAAAGCATATAGGAGGATCATAGAAAAATTTCACAACCCCTCATCTGCCTGTAGACGCTAGCGATCTGCTAGCTCATAGTCAGCCGATGCTCCTTTGACACCACACGCAGTGCGGCTCAACAAAGATTCTCAAGTCAAACGCCTTCCATTTCCACCGAATTATCATAAAATTGTCCTCAACACTAGATATGCCCGAGAACAGCGCCCAGATGCGGGCCCTCGCGATCCCAGAGATCGTAACCTCAATCCTGCACCAAATGGACATGCGAACGCTGATCGCCGCCCAGAGAATCAGTCGCACATGGAAAGACTTGATCTGCACCACGCAGTCCCTGCAGGAAACTCTATTTCTCCGACCAATCAGCCATGATCTCAACCTCGGCACTCGAATCGAGAACCCGCTACTGGCAAAAGCATTCCCATCGATTTTCAATCCCGAAGAAAGTAGTATTTGCCTGACCGATCTTATCTGGGAGAGATCCCCAGCTATTCGAGAGATGTTCATCCGACCCGAAGCCAGCTGGCGCCGCATGCTCACGCACCAACCGCCTCTCTATCAAGTCGGCACATTTAAATACAGCTGTACACCTTTTGGCTGGCATTGGAGCAAGGAAAAGGCGGGTATTCCGGAGGACGGACTCCGAATGGCACCGCTGTTTGAATTCCTGATTGATCGAGACTGGAAAGACTGGGCATACGCGAAGTCGATCGAAATGTATTTCCCGGCTTCTGTGCCCGCTGGGGGTTTTCAGCCGAGTAGATCTAGTTATTTGGATGAACCTGATCGGGGGAAAATGAACGGGCAGTTTGATCTTGTGCTGGATATTAACTCGCAGACGACCTGTACGAGCGAGGAGGATTACGAGGATTGGATGGAGACAAGGGAGCAGAAGGCCCGGGAGAAGGATGAGGTGCTTCCAGATACTGATTTAACTGTTTGGAAAAGAATTTGTGCATGTTATCGAGAGTTGGGATTGAAGATGGAAGGGTTCAAGATGGAGATGTTTGAGGAAGACGGTGGGATGTGGGACTAGAATCATGGGTTCTGATCGATTTGCTCTCTGCCTTTTGCATGATGCTCAAATTGTTATGATTATTATACCCCTTGCGATTCTTGGTAGTATCCCGTATGGGTGCCTTTTCTCGTCACCCAACACCAGAGTTGGTTATCATCACGCCGTCTCTAGGACGATCACATAGAATTTAGAGAATACATCTAGGTGAATAAGCTCGAGTGATGAGAACTACAAAAAAATAAAAACAAAAACATACAACAGTGAGGATTCGCTGGTGGTCACCCACCCAACTACTAACTCACCGGCGTGTGGCTTAAGTACGGCTGAGCGGACGGGAAGCCCTGTTTTCCACACCCTATGGTCGTATGTGCTTGAAATGATAAAGAACAAAATTATATAGTAAATTTTGGGTAGACAGACGATTTGTTCTCGTACCTTCCTCAGCTGATGGGTGACGAATCGCTATTCAATCGCAGTGTTCGATTTGGAGCATCTATTTTGCTGGAAGCACATCATCTATCCCATGATGGCAGACCTGAAAGTATTGGACAGCAATTTTTGGGTCATACCCCGTTCGAAAGTTTGACAGAAAAAAATGTATAGTTGATATAGAAGTTGAGACAGCGCTCATAGTACTGCGTAGTATAAATTTACTATGATTGTTGCAGAAATGAAAGGGAATCTACGCATGAAATTCCCCTGTGTTGACGGCCTTGCCGGGCTGGCCGAGTTTGATTGATCCCTTTCGGAAAAGTCGGATTGGTGGAAGGTGGATTTTCTGTTAGATGGCCGAGACATCCGGGACATCCTCTCTGCCCTACGCCCTACCACTACCTTATCACTGCTTGGTATTGGCCAGTCTTGAGTCATCCCAAGGATTGTAGTTTGGGTCTAGGAGATGGCATTTCCCCAGCATTCCCTTAGTCACAAGGCTCTTCACACTAATTTTTTTTTTGTGTACTTCGTCGCGCAATGTTCATGGTCGGCGACATCATGACAAATATATGCAAAATAACGTAAAAACTTATGAGCGTTGCAAGAACCTTCTAATATGCAGGAAAGAATGATCGTGTCGACATTACTGACTTAGTCAAAACGTCAGCACTAGTCCTCATCACCTTCCGGCTCAAGATTCCGGCTAATTATACGAGCTGTCCATATACCCGTGGACGTCGCAATACTCCATATTCCGAAGCCGTCGGCAAAGGTTTATATACACTGGTGATGGTGACATCATCGACCTAGTTATCTATCGGCTCACAGGAGAAATCAGGCGAAGCTAAAATCTATAGCACTGCAATTTTTCTTTCCCCCGTTGACAGCCCCTTGCGTCACGCTCCTCCCCTAGATTTTCCCTCTGGCCCCATATATGAATCCTTGCAACCTAGCATTCTATGCGTGTTGTTTGCGACCCTTTTTGACACGTTCTCTTGATTTGCGCCTACGGCTGGACTCGAAATTCCAGCGAACGTTGTTGTTCACCACCTGTGTACGATTGGCCAAACCATCATAATGCTTCCCACGACGACAAACGAAAATGAGCCCCTTTGTGCCCCCATGACCACCTTAACGGCGCAAGTGCCAGCGGCTATGAATGAATGTATCGATAGATACTCGTCAAGCATGAAATCAAGCGCGCATTGGCGCAGTCAACAACGCAATATCTTCCAACGGGCTTATAACCGCGTGCAACTCGGGTACTACCGCTACGAAGTGACTTTCGGCCTCTATGTGTTGACATTCAATGAAAAACTCGTCGTCAACGCCTTCGCTCTGACTGTGATAACCTTGGTCTTCTGGGCACTTCTATACTTCCCAGCCTTGGTCTATAACAAGGGGGATGACCTCATCTGGCTATTGACAGGCCACCGCAATCAAAAAGTCGGCATCGTGTTGTGATCAATACGGCAATTTAATGTTACCCACGGTTGAAAGTTTCTTGGCGTGAGGATCACGCATCGGCACTGTTTCCACTGTGAGGTATGCCCCCTCAAAGGGCCTTTGCTGTTCTCTATTTGCTGGACACGTCCATGCTTTGACATCTGTTGTTCTTGCGTTCTAAGCTTTGTATCCTCAATTGAGGCGGTTGCATTTTGGATGTTCCCCTACGATTTAGCTAATTCACTTACATAATATTTCCGCATTCGTCGAGCTATGGTCCCGCGTGTTGTTCCGGTCAGGTCCGTCCCGGCAACATTTCCGTGAAATTACCTAATCGAGCACTTGCCTGGAAAAGAAGGTTTTCGACTAGCTCGACCTAGACTCGCTTGAAGGTTGTAGTCTGTGGTCCGCGAAATCACCAGTAACTCATTCTATCCCTCACAAGTACTAGATACTAGAAGGTAGAACAAAAACATGGCAATCACAAAATATATAGTGAATCTAAGGTTATTTAGCGCACATGGTTCGGGCTTAGGCGGCTTGGCGCTCTATTCAGCCCTATTCAGTCCTCTAGTAAGTTATTTTGCGGACCTTAGAAATCGAAAGACACGTGATGATACAAAAATGCATGGTTTAATCGGCAAGACCCTGGCTGTCTCCATCAAGTCCAGCCACATGATTCTAATGCTGGCAAAGCTGTCACAAAAAAATAATTCTTTGACTTGGTTTTCGTATGCTCATTGTCTTACAGTAAGCCAACCGCTTCGAGTTCAAAGTCCCCGACAAGAAGTTTTCATCAGGCTAGCATGTGTTGCGATGAGTGGTTTGGCAGATAAACAGTGCTTTATGCTTCTGGGTCAAACTCATAGATGTAATGGAAGTGGCCAAAATATGTATTTCTGTACACCAGGAATGTAGCAGTTTAGATACCTGAGTTGTAAAATTGCATCATGTATACAGCAAGTTGCGCTTGATCAATACGCTATGTGAATTGGTTTATATTTTTTGAACCTCTTGGATTTACTGGGTCTCGAAACTTCGCATGCATGCGACAACAAAAATTATTCCAGGCCTTGACATGACATGAAATCAGTGACACCGCTGCGTTAGGCACCAGTAAAAATTGAAATCTACCATACCGGTTGGATAGAGATTAGAACTCCATACAACCCGTTCAGATCTAGCCGCATCCGCTACCGGGAACCATTGCTCCTCATCGACTACCAACGTAAGACGCACCCACTACTGGCTCCATTGCTCTAGGCCCTATGACTGTGGACCCATAGCCCTGACGACGTCTGCGTGCGCGACGCTGCATCTTCTTTTTGGACGGTTCGTTGTCTCTGTCGATTTGATATTGGATAAAAGCGTCCGAGCAAGTGTATATGCCCCGTGGAGGTGGACAGTCATATGCCTCCCCGCGAGATGTACCGAAACACATGGCGATATTTGATTGAGAGGGTCTGTTTGGAATGGGACAGAAAATCTTTGAATGCTTTGGGTTTTCGATTCTCTTTCAGAAAATGCTTGGTTTAAGGTAGATTGTCGTTGGGCTTGCTACGATAAAATAATGGACTATATAGTGTTCCAGCTCCAAATCTTTGGGTTCTACCTAGCACCGAGAGAATCTTGGCATTTTGGGCAGCTTTGTTTTTATTTGTTCGTCGATCGGCATAGCCACCGCCCAAGTAAGGCTGAGTACAAGTATGTAAGGCAGATTCAGGTCGGAACATAACCTTATCAAGCAGGAATCTTGCGGATCAATCGTCGGGGCTCGGGCTCGTATATATTGTAATGTATGACATATGCCAATATACCAATTTGCCGAACACAGCATAAGTCAAGTCATTAGGAATATCACTCTTGGATGCTTTCCTAGCCCTTGGCATCTATATGAGACCTGTAATGCGTTGAAATCCATCCGGTAAACCCTCTTGTTTGAATCAGATGGCCCGACCCCACTTATCGATGTGAAGCTTAACGCTCCGCAAAGCCCATAAATGGGGGCCATGGCCCAACCCGCAGTGGGCTATGGGCCATGATGGGCCCCCATAGATAGCCCCATCATAGCCCATTAAGGGGGTCTTGGCGCTTTTGAACCGACGACTTGTAATCGCTGTATCCTAGCCTCCTACCAATTCTTTAGAGTCCACAATTTGATATTCAAGCCTTAAATAGCTATTCTAGTTGATGAGTTAATTTCAAGAAAAGTTTGACAAATAGAGGTCGAGATATCGCGAAAAAAATACTTAATATCAACATCTTGATACTAGATATCCATCTTAGATCAGTGTGTGAGTTAATTTGAAATTTTCTTTAACTAACGCGTTTTCTCGTATATTTAATATAATATAGAAATTTAACTTGATATTTATGAAATATATATTCAGATAATAAAATATTACTACAATATAAGTGCTAATCACGGGGTTTAAATATAGAGTAATTGATTTTCCAAAATGTTTGCATTGTTTGGTGCTCATTGGGCTTAGTGGGCCCGGACTCGGGTCCAAAGCCCAGCCCATTTGTGGGTTAAGTTGGGTTGGGTTTATGGGCTTTGTGGGCTTTGCGGAGCGCTAGCGAAGCTTATGGGCTTTGACCGGACCTCATTAAAAACATTAAGAGGGTCGGTCACTAGTACCAATTATTTAAAAGTTGCCTAACCCCGTTTGTCTTCATATTCAATCCACTCAGTTCTCGTCTCTTACACAAAATGCAAAGGCAGATTGCTGGAACGCTCGACGTCCGGTTTGTTGACCGTATCCAACAAGATATCCTCGAGCATCAAAACGACACAGAATACGACATCTTGTACTCAACACCGGTACATGATTCAAATCACGATTTTCGTGTACATATTGAGGATTTCCAAAGTCTCGATCTTAACAACTCCGATCAGTGGTCTCAACGTCTCCGAACCGCTTACGCCCATATCAACCAGCGCCACCCTCTTGGAGTGCCGTTTGTCGTCAGTCAAGTCTGTAAACCAGGGTGCACTCGAAATCATTCCAGAACTTAGCCCTCGGCTTTTTCCTAAGCGCGTCCCGGGTACAAGGAGCGTCTATTGCAAACGTCGACCAGCGTAACAGCACCAGTGCCTTGAACGCTCGAGCTGGAAACGATTACCGCATTACGGTCTATCAGAATGGTCAATGTACCGGCGATGCTTTCCCCTAATCTGGTGATGACGAAGATTGCCACAATGGTCTCGATAATGGCGGTGCTGGACTCCAGCTTTTGGCTCTAGATGCTGACGACATGCTTGTATTCTATGGTGCGGCTGATTGTCCCGCCGGCTAAGAGGTTGACACCTTCAATCCAGATCAAGACCAGACCGGAACGGACTGCAAGCCTCTGAGCGGAAACCCTATTTGTTCCAGCTTATCAGTGTTTGAAGCATTCATGCTCCTTTGCTGTCATGCGAGTCAAGGCAAATATATGTACCCAAAGATTTTTTTGCAGATTATTGAGTTAGTTCCATCCCTATATCCAGCCGTGCCAGCCTTTCAAGACGTGGGTACAATAGTGACAGGCTTTCTATCACATCGCGAATAAAAAGTAACGTGAGGTTGGGATGAAAATGCCGTATTCTACAGAGACTCTAATAGCTCTTAGATATTAGTGATGAGAAGATTGGAGGGCGCTGAGGTAGCAGTGTATAGGAGATCCTTATAAAGTGTAGGTATTAGACCTAAAGCGGCCGTTCCGAATTTGAAAACGATCTATTTATACGATAGATAAGAATTATCTAATGTGTATCTCAACGTAAATTAGGTAGCGTCTTTTCAGATATGGACTGAGAATCAAGGCGTGAGGGTTTGAAAACTCCATTGTATTCTCACATATCACGTTGTTCTGCGAGCGAGGGGTCAGGGTAACTAACGTCATCCAGTCATTGCGTATTTTTCTGGGGGCCAGGAACGCCTCAACCGAAGCACGAGCAAGATGATCCCTGGAGAAGATAGGTATCAAGGAAAAAACCCTGGAACTCAGGTCTAAGCCAGGGTCTGGGTCACATCGCGCGCGGCTGAAACCTGAGACTTTTGATTGGTAGAACTAAACTGGACCCGAGGTCTTGTACCCGCTATGGGCGCAATTACCAAAAAGAATACTCGGGCGCGATAGCTATACGAACATTGATCAGACGAATTGGCGGGGTTTTAGTTGTTCATTGGCAGTTTCGAACTATGGGAGGTAGATGGTACCCAGATGAGACTGGTGCGAACAGGTTTTCGCAACTCTCCTATTCGAAAGTGGTTCTAGCAGTGTCTAGGAGGATGCAAGGATATGCCGCTGGAATGCGTGTGACCATACTATCGAATATCGCTTGGGTCTCCGATCCATGGTGAACCTAAGGGGTGATTGCGCTGGGCACCAACTACAATGGGGACCCGCGTTCATTATGAGGCCAGATGTTGGAGAGTAAGATGACTAACCTCATATCAAATGTAAAATTATGTTTTGTCTATGCTCTAGAACTAAAACACAGTAACAGAGTAATTATTATGAGTCGAGTTCTTGGTCAAAGTGTGACTTCAGATTTTGACCTTCGAATGGCAAAAGCTGGCCCAAGGGCAATTAACAAGAAGTACGTCGCACTTGTACCAGCATCATTGCCGGCCCCCGATAGCCCATACATGAAAGATGGGGGCTAATCTATCATTGGTTAGCTAGGATGTTGACCCCTCATCAGTATCTGGTTTGTGACGTCGCATCCCACCAGATTGGTCAGATTTTGCACTTTCCATAGAGCCGTTGGTGGATGGGGTACTGACCTCTATGCGGTCCACGGGGTGATAGTCCATGCCTATCCGGAAAGTACCAATTGCCAATGGTTCCTGTACTCTGGTTTCCTACACTGAGGCTCTTCCCCCTCCAAATACCTCCTTGTCAGGAACTCATCTCGTCAAGTGGAAGTAACCGTGCTTGTTAATGAAGTGGGTATCAGGCTCTCCGATAGCACCACACCTGGGGAATCTAGCAAGGCGACCGCAGCAACAAGGCCCTCGGCTGTTAGGTTATACCATAAAATCCTTCCAAGAACAGGTTTCTCTTGCCTTAACCTCAGGAAAGTGCTAAATACCGTTTGTTCTCATCATTGCTCAGCCATCCGTGCCGGATAGCATATGAATCGTTCTCGTCATATTCGGACAAAGAAGTCACCACTCGAGTGATAATAGCTATGCCCTCATCTGGATGTCCTGATCTTCCTGAGTCTGGATACCCTCAAATCCCCATTCCTCCAGTGAGACGGGTCCTTTTGCAAATGTCCAAGGAAGAAAACAACTCTTTTCGCCCAGATTTAATTTTTGTTCTATCTCGCCAACCAAGGGCCCTACGGCTCTCAAAATTAGTTTATATTCTTTCTAACCTCCGGCTCTATCTTTTGATCCTATTTTTGTAGGTATTGAAGGATAGCGGTCGTCGGTGGTGGAAGAAAACCGGATTCACCCCCTAAAACTAAGTTTTTAAATACCCCTAAAAAGCTATATAACTATTTTAGTACTATAGATAAGCTCGCCTAGGGTACTAGAAAGGTACTAACTAATATAGAAAACGACGGATTTAGTGAGTTATATATAATTAACTTTATTAAAGCTATTGAATAGTATACACTAAACCCCCTAAAGAGGGATAAACTATAGGTATAGGTTATAGAAAAGGTATAATAGGTACTTAACCAACTTAACTAGCGTATAGAAACTATAGAGAAAGTAATAATAGCGATTAAGGCGATAATATCGCTATTAATATCTATATAGATAACTAATTCGAACGATTTAGCGGCCTTCTAGGTATAGCTTTAGAAATAGGGCTAGGGGACTAGTTCTAGCCCTCCTCTATCTCTCCTAAGGACTAGTAGTAATAGGTTATCCTTAGTTAGAGTTTCGCTAGCTAAGCTCCGCGAAGACTAAGAGATTATCGTTAAGATCTAAGATAGTGATACCTATAAGACCCTCTATCGGCGAATACTAAGGGAGATTATTAAGTAGGCTAAGAGGATATATAAGTAGGTAGTATAGAAGAAGGCTAGTACTCCCCTTAGTGGTAGCTACTACTTTATAGTAGTAAAGGTTCTCCCCTCCGGAGATATTAAGATAATAGCGGATAGTACTTTAGGTATAGAGCTACTATAAAAGTATATAGATAGCTAGCTAAAATTGTTTAGCCTAGTAGCTTATATTTAGAAGCCGATATAGGGGGTTATTACGTAGGGTATTAATATAAAGATAATACTACTAACGCTAAAGATAATAGGGAGTATAGTAAAGGAGCCTATCTAGTAGAATAGCTATTCCTAGGGTAGTTCCTAGGAGGTTAAGATTCTATATCTTAGCTAGCTAATTAAACTAGGTAAGTACTAGGAGAGTTTAATTATTATTAAATTTACTAGCCTAGTAATTACTAACTAGGCGATTATATAGGGGACACTCTAGTAGCACTAGGTATACTAGACTACCTATTTCTACTAAGAAGGCTATTTAAAGTTATACCTTAAGTGTTAAAAACTAGGATATATATACTTATAATATTTAAATAAATATTAGTATAGCTACTACACTAAAGAGTACCTAACCTAGGAGTACCCTTTAAAGTATAGTAAAGTTATCGAAACTAAATATACTAATTATAGTAGAGCTTATAGGCTAATAAGTGATACCTATAAGGTAAGGATAGTAGTAAAGGAGGAGATAAGATTAGTATTAGCTAATAGCCCTCTATATTATTATATTCTACTCTATTTCTAGTAGAGAGAGGCTATAAAGAGTAATACTACTACCTCCTAGTCCTAGGGAACTAACTAGGGACTTAATACCTTAATCTATACACTAGAAAGGTAGATAATAATAATACACTAGGAAATAACTATAGTATACCTAGTAAAAGATATAATAATAAATACTAAACTAAGGCTAAGTATCTACTTCCTAATCCCTACCTTAAGTGAGATCTAGAGGATATATACTAAGGTTAGAGCTAAAATACCTAGATAAAAAGAGCTAGTTACTAGTTATATAATATAGATAAGATTAAGGATATTAGAAGATAATAACCTACTAGCTATACTAGAGGAATATACTAAATCTACTATTATAGTAAGCTAATTAGCTTACTTACTCTAGTCCTAAAACTAAGAAATTATATAGTTTATAACTAACCCTAAGAAATAGCTCTAGATCTTATATAAGAAATATAGGATAGTAGAACTAGTTAATATTATAGAGGAGGACTATAAGTAGATATAACCCTAATAGATATAATACTATAAAGTGATCGAAATTAAGGATAATATAGAGAAGGAGTTCTATAATATATTAGAGTATAGTAACACTACTAAAATAGACACTAATAATATAGACTTATCTTAATAAATCGCTTCTAAGTGATTTAATATAATATATATAATACCTATCTAGTTATAGCCTTATTCCTAATAGATAAAGTAGTCTAAAAAGTAGATATTATTATAATCTAGGAACCCTAGGTAAGCTCTTATATAATAGAACTAATAACTTATTATCTAAATAAAGTAATATACTAGCTAGTCTTTCTAAAGGTAAGCGAATATAAAGAGGAATAAGCTAGGGTCTACCTATTTATCTTAAAGCGAATCAACCTAGGAATATAGTTATATAGAATAGTATTAAAGGGATATTAGCTCTTAAAAATATAGAGAAGTTAATAATACCTAGAAGGGTAGACTAACCTCTTTATATATAATATATATAATAACGATAATAGTGAGACTATAGAAACGCTAGATAAAGAGATTACCTAGAGAATATATATAGAGTATATAGTTATAGGGGATATAAACCTATACTACCTAGCCTAGGGGGGTATAAAGGTAGATATAGTAGCTAAGAGATTACTAGATATAGCTAGGAGGTATAGCCTAGATCTAATAATAGAGAGAGAGGTCCTAATATAGCGATATAATAAGTAGGTATCTATAATAGATCTTACTTTTATTAGTAGTACGCTAATAGAGAGGGTAATTAAATATTAGGTTAGGATAGACTATAGATTAGAATACTACCTAGTAGTAATAATAATCGATATTATAATACTACTATATAAACCACTAAGAAGAAGAAACTAGAAGGTAATAGATAATAAGAAACTTATAGAATATATTATCTAATATACTAATACTAATACTAACACTAGGTACC